TTAGGTCGTCCGTCGTTCGTACGTACTACGAAGAACGTTACTTACTTACTTGTTTCGTTTACTTTAGTTAGTACTACTACTACTACTACTATACTCTCTCTCTCTCTCTCTCTCTCTCTCTCTCTCTCTTATTGACTTCATTGCTATCTTCCTGATCTCTCTTTCTGCAAATTCCAATAACCTTCCACATTTTCTCCGCTCTCTTTTTTTTTTTTTTGTAAATCAAAATAATTGTAATGGAAAACTCACTAAATTGCTCCAGATTTAACCCAGTAGTACCCTAATTCGATGGTAGTTTTATCGTTATTTTTGTTTTGCCAATTCTAACTGATCTCGCAATAATTGAAAACACGATTTGTGTACTGTTTTCAAATGGTTTCACTTAAAAAAAAAAAATCTTTATTTTTCAATTTTTTGGATCACGGCAGTCATCATCTTCAAACCTATTCTCCCGTCAATGATTCTGACACTTTCTTTTTTTAGAATTCAGAAATGGGGTAAATTTTTGGGCATATATAGTGCCAATTCTATTGCGTTTACTTATCATTGAGATCGATGGTTTTGCTGTTTATCATTTCCAGTTGCACTTTGCATTGCATTAGCTGTTTATCAATAATTCTTTTTTTTTCTAATTATTTTTTATTAATTGTTAAGCTATCATTATATATATTTATTGTTTTAATGGCAGTGAGCTGAGCAAAGTTAGTGCCATTGTCTGCAGAGGTTTTTGATAAGCCATGGCTGGAGCTGCTGGCGGGTTTGTTACACGGTCTTTCGAATGGATGCTAAAGGAGTGCTCGGGAAAGAAGTATGGAGGGCTTCAGAAGGCTCTTCAGACATATATAGGCAAGGATACATCCGTGTAATTCATATATTTCATGTATTTATTTATCACTAATTGTTGGTTTATACCATTCTCATCCAAGTGCCATTCTTTTACACTCGAATTGGTGAATTACATTTTATTAAATATTTAACTGGCACTGCACTTGTTTCACATCTCATTGTAGTGTTCATTGGGAGATATGATTTAGATAGATAAATGAGAAGCAAATACATTTAGCCAAGGAAATAAGCAAGTATGAGAAAAAAATAATGAAAATAGTTTTGAAGACAGAATTTATCACTCACCTGAAAAATCAGACCTTTTAGTCATTCTGGTTTATGCGGTAACGTTAGGAGTGATTGATGCGTGGATGTGAAGTTCTTACTTCTCCATATCTTTGAGGCGAGATCGACAAGCTTCCCACGAGAACACTAAGCTCAATATCCTTGATATCTTCTGCCTCCTGAACCTTAGTTATCGACCAACACCTATGTGTGTATCATTAGAAGCAAGGTTTATCTTGGTTCGGTTGCAGATTAGGACATTAGAAGGTCCCTCTTCACATGACATAGGACCAGGGGATTACTTTGACCTTTATATGCAACACAGACACAAAGTATAGAGTTTGAGTTAACATAGACATTCAGTGGTTGAGAAATTTTCATTCCCTTGTATTTAGGGAAATGCTTAATATAATAGGGATATAAATAAAGAAAGGTCGTAAACAAACACACTGAGAGGTTGTACCATCACAAGCAAGTATAAACTGAGGACAAAAATAGAGGAAGGATGAGATCTCAGTTTTTTTTTTTTCATTGTTGTCCTTTGGGAAATCTTCTCCTTCATTGACTGCTGCTATTCTCAAGGCTTCACATAGCCAAGTTGATCTATTCGTCTTTGCTATTCCATCTGAATATACATAACACAGCCAGCTCATGGGTCATCAACCCCACTAATTACCATCTTTGAGATCTTTCCTAAAGGGGGCATCTAATGTTATCTCCATCGAATACATTTGAATGTACTCCATCCTTGTAGGCTCTGTAACAAATTCTGAGGCTTGAAGCCATCCCCCAACCTTCTTGGTCACTTAATAAACTAGAAAGTAGAAACACATGATGCCCCTTCCTGATCACCTCAACATCCAACGTGTATGGAGCCTGGCCACCTTTGAGATTTCTGCACAATTTATTCGATAAATTGTACAAAGCTTTCTTGTTTCCAGAGGCACTATCTCAACCCAAATTGGGACTTTCAGGAAGTTTCTGGTCTCTAGTTAAAGCTTGTTCTCCAGGTTCCCCACCATTCAATTCGCAGTAGCTATGGGGACCTTAACACGCATTTTCCCATTCCCCTGTTGAACCTGAAACAGTTTGTAATCTCTGGGGATTGGTCTTGCTCACATTGAGCTTCCCGTCTTGTATCTCTTGCCAAACTCTCCTCTAGATTGCTGGGCACACTGAACACCAGCCTTGCTACCCTGGAGAAACTCAGTTTCCCGTTTTTCCCCCAAAACAAATTCAGTCCTTGTGATTAATAACCTATGCTCAGGAAGTCAGATCTTTTGTGCCTCATCTTCTTCATCATCCCTGGTAACTATGCCAGCTGCTTCCTTCCCTCCATTTGCTATCTTGTCACACCATTTCTACCACTCTTCCCTTCTCTACTTCCAAGATCCTGCAACTGTTTATACCTTGTTGCAACTGCACTTTTCAGGCATTTTGCTAAAGTTATTGTGAACATGCGATGTCTGCTCAAAGATTAGAAAGACTTGCACAAGAATGCTTTCTATTACCTCAGATACTGCATAACCCTAACATGTAGATAATGAACGATTTAATATAAGAATAAAATGAGTACCATGTAAGAAGTGCTTTTATGTGTACTAAAGTCATTATGAATCACATAAGCTAATTCCTACTTAACTTTGTGCTATGCTTGGCCTGATAGATGGGCACCAGTTCCAAATTTCCCGATGATATACCTGTCAGTCACTATAACGGTTCATGACATCTTTTTCTATTAAGAGCGCTTGGAACTATATTAGGGACATGCCCCCATTGGAGAGATATTAAAAAATTTATGGGCTTCTTATTCTTATTCTCGAGCCAAATGGTTCACTTGGATTGCCCTTCATCTCTGCCTCCCTACATCTGAACTACTACAGTCCAAAGGGATCCATCTAGCACACCGTATTCTGTTAACCATATTATTTTGTTATGTACTTTCTCGCAAGTTCTCCGGCGGTCTATTATATGGCGATGTGGCAAAAGTTTCCCTATAGGCCCATCAATACCTTTAATGTTTGAGAGCTGGGTCAAATTCAGGTTTAGGTCAACAAGATTACGTAATGTTTGAATCTCTCTGTTCTCCACAACCATCTGGCTCCTCTGAACTGAGAGGAATTTGTGTATCTTTGAAGGTAAGAGGCCCAAAAGAGAACAATTGCTGCACCAGATCAGTTCTATTGTTGCAGGCTTAGCAAAGTTGAAAGGATGGACTTTCCATCTGTTAGAGAAGCCTATAGTTCAGAACCTAAAAATCCAATGGCACCCAATTCATACTAAAACTTTGATCTTGGTCTCATGGTCTCCACTCCCAGCAGGTCTCTATAAACTAAACATTGATGGCTCGTCCCTTGGCAACCTTGGAGTAGCTGGTTGTGGAGGAATTACCAGAAACGATATGGGAGGGTTTTGTGCCGCTGTTGCTGTTCCTCTAGGGCACACATCCAATATTGTTGTTGAATTTTCAGCCCTTGAAAGGGGCATTTAGCTAGCTATTGAGCTGCATTGCTTTCCACTGCTCATTGAGAGTGATTCGTAGATTCTAGCGCATTCCCAAACTGCCTTTACCACCTGGATGGCCGCCCCTGGAGTATTAAGCATGTCTACCGAGAGGCCAACTCGGTGGTCGATCACTTGGCCAAGAGTGCTACAAGTCTCTATGACGCCACGGCTTGGCGTGCCTGGCCACCTGATTTTATTTCTCTTCTAATTTCTTATGATATGGCCAGGACTTCTCATGAAAGTATTGTACCATAAACTCTTTATCCTTTTGTACCATTCTTACTTATTAATGAAAAATGGTTAGTGGCCCAAATCCCCACTGACTTACCCCCTTTTTTTTATTTTTTTTATAACGGTACATGATGTACTGGCGGCAGTGAAACTTTGGTGTAAAGAGTGTGGCAGTGCATTGCTTATAAAAAGGTATTGAATTCATCTCAATTGACTGGAATATTTTCTAGATTGACTAGTAAACTAGGTCTCTTTCTTGATAACTAGGACCAATGGAATCTAGGGATACAAAACACGACTATGATTGATTCAGTAAAGTCTCTGTGGTTTTCTTGCTGGATATTAATTTACAGTAAGGTTTCTACAAAAAGAGAATTCCTTTGTATTTATTTAACTGCAGCAGTCATGTGGACTATCAACTCTATGTTGAATCAGGATTCTTTGTCATTTTTATCTTCTGTAATTTCTGACACATTGCTATGTGATTTGCTTGATAGGGTTTCATGAGGTTGTGTATGAGTTCCATTTTGAGCACGTTCTGCTTTATTTTGTTTGGTTATGTGTTGATTTTCTTGTGCATTTGTCTTTGTTGCCTGCAGACACTACAAAGGAAATCAATCGCCAGTCCTTCTCAACTGAAAAAAACCACACTACAATCTTGGCTGGGAATGACAAGTCTGTACTAATCATATTATCTCTTTTAAGTTTACTTGAGTATTCTTATTTTGAAAAGCTATGTCCTGGCATTTCTTTGTTATGTTTTTTCCAATGTCCAAATTATATTGTTGAAGAAGTTTCAAATTTGAACCTCTGAGAATGTCCCTTGACATTTGTATCATTTGACTGGATTTAGAGTTACTTTTTGTAGAATTATGGTGCTATTTCACTTTGTTATATGGTTTGCTAGTTATTATTCCTTCCTTGTATTTCTTTAATTTATTCTTATAACTGTGGTTATAAGTTGGTATCTTATCTAAAACTATTTCTTTTGATATATAGTAATAAAGGGAAAGGAAATCACAAATAATGAATCAGCATTCTCCAGGCAGTGATAGAGTGTTGATAATGTGGCACTGTGATACTTTGACCTTTTTGTTGTTGGTTGAGAACACAATATTCATAGGCAGCTTCATGTCATCATGGTTAACTTATCTTGGGGATTGGGACTAGGTTGGTGGGGTGATGTTTCAGTGCTTATTTCCTGTGCTAATCATGATGGCTTGTTTCTCAACACAATCACATGTACTTGTTGTCCTGATTATCAATTCATTTTGTTGTTCTTTATTTTAGCCTTTTGAGGTATAATGAAACACTTTGCTTATATTGGGGTGGCAAAAAATCTAGCCTTTCTAAGGTTCTCTTTTTCCCCTTGATTTTGAGCGAAATCTGTTTAATTTATTTTAAATTATTTTATTTATTTAAAAAATTGAGAGAAATTTGATCAGTGGCGAGCTATTGTTCAAATATTATGATTCTTGATAGAATATATGATATCAGAATAAAGATTAAAGCTGAACCAAATTCGTTTGAATGGAAATGCAATATGTTGATGGGTTGCTATAAAAATGGAACTATATTGGGTCATTATGTCATAATTTTTTGGCTTGAAGTGTGTAAATGCTATTTCTTTTTAACTTTCATAATTATCTAATGCCTACAATTAGTTTTTTGCTTTTTTTAAAGAAAAAGCGCATAAGATGCTTTTTTTATAAGATGCAAAGGCCATTTACAAGATGCAATTTCCTGGCCATTTATTTTGGTTTGCAACTTTGCATCTTAGGCCAAAAAAACAAGCGAAGACATTTATTTATATACCCTTGTAACTAGAATATTAATCTTTTGTCCCACATTCAAAATTTCAACATCAAGTGGAGGTTTGCATTGCTGTAAAAGATGGGGACGCGATGAGGCATGTGAAGGGGCTACTGCCTGCCTAGTGCGAAGGAGGGTGGCCCACATGTCCCCCCTCTTTAAGTTAAAAAAAATCATAAATAACTAAAAAATGGGGGGTTACAGTTCAACCAGCTTGATTTGCCGGTTTTTTGATAGAACCGGCCGGTTTTGTTATAGAATTGTGGTTTGGGGGGAACCAGCTGGTTCCCGATATATGGAGAACTGAATCGGCTCCAATGATTTCTGATCCGGATCGGGTGATTCCGGTCTGGATCAACGATTTTTAAAACCTTGGATTAAACCAACACACACATTTTCTTTCTCATGCCTGTTGTATTACTCAACAATGAGAAAAATCATTATTCTCAAAAAAACAAAGAGAAAAATCATTGCTCAATGGGACACGCTAATTAGATGACTTTTTTTTTTCCTCTTGATATATGGACACTAGATTTTTTATTTCCTTAAAAAAATTCATATTAGTAATTAGTGAACATTGACTTCGCTTTGTTACTAATGTGACCAATTTTGAATTTGATTTGTTTGGAGCTTTATGGCATAAGCATGATATCTCCAGATATGATGCTTTTTATGTGTGCCTCAGTTTACTAATATGCTTGTGGTTTCCAAATGGTTGATGATTTCTTCACTTTGGATTTGTTTAGTATACCCTCAAAAGCAAGCAACATCGATGAGGCTGAAGTCACAAAAGATGGTATCAATTCAGATGGCTCCCAACCTGTGGTAGCTATGATAGAGGCGGTTGATGAATCAAGTTGTAGCTCAAGGACTGGTGAAGTTGTTACCATGACGATAGCAAGTGCTGGTCATACCTTAGAAGGTGCTGAATCGGAGCTTGTCCTACAACCACTCCGACTGGCATTTGAGACAAAGAATGTAAAGCTCGTGGAGCTTGCATTGGATTGCCTTCATGTATGTGATCTTGTCTTCTAACTCTTGTTGTTCTTTTTGCTCCTTGTTGATTTTTTTGCTGTTTGTGTAAAACACATCATTTGTATTCCTTTTATAAATCCAAGTTGCATTTTACTGTGTCGCATTGATTTTATATGTTCTTTTTCAAAGTAATATACTTTCATTCTATTTGACTTGCGTGTATGTCAGTATGTGAAATGACTGCCATTAACAACTCGATGCGCACGATGGACTTTGGAAAATTCTTGGACAAATAATGTTGAAGGTTTAGCTAGTTATGTTTTGATCGTAATATTTGAAATAGGAATCAAGGAGTTGGTTTGGGATTGGAAGTAGTAGCTTGGAGCATTACATGGGGGTAAGGGTGTGCATGTGCACGTGCCTCCGTGTGTGGATGCACGTACACATACATACTTACATGAACTGAGATGAGCTAATAGACAGATATTTAGACAGAGAGATGGACAGAGATAGGGATAGGTAGATCGCTATATAGATAAATAAAAATGAGCTTCCTTGGAAGTACGGCTGCCAATGGGCCGGGCCCTGCCCGGAGCCCGGGAAAGCCCGGACCGGATTCTGCACAGCCTGGTGAGGCACGGCCCGGAACTATGCCCGATAAGGCCCATCCGTTAAAAGCTCAAAAGCCCTGTGTGACCCGTTAGGGCCCAGAATTATACTCAGAAGCTCGGCCCAGCCCACTAGGCTTATTGGGCCCGGCCCGCTCGGCTCAATTTAGACTTTTTAACTTTTTTTTTTTTGAATCTCTCCAAACTTTTCTTGTAAGCCAAAACAAAAAAAAAAAGAAGCTAATTATTTGGTATTCTAGTTACCTTCCATTGCTAATTATTTGGAAACTTATTTCGCATTGAAACACATCAACATGATGCTCCAAGGTACATATGAACTTATATAGGAGACCACACAAAAGAAGAGGTTAGGCATCTTGGTTTGTGGTTAGGGTCCAAGAACTTGTAAAATTTCTCAGAGATATTGTGCACACTTTTAGATAGAGAGAGAGGTTTGTAGAGAGACCTCTGTTTTTAGAGAGAATTTTTATACATTTTAGAGCGAGAGAGAAAGAGAGAGTTTATGCAAGTCAGAGACATGTTATGGGTGGCTTCTAAAGAGAGAGAGAGATTCTTTATGCAAGTTAGAGAGAGATCTTTTATGTAAGTTAGAGAGAAATCTAGAATGAGAGAAAGAGAGAGAGTTTATGGGTGGTTTCCTTGAGTTCAAGAGATGTTTTACCATTGAAGAAACAAAAACAGAATAACATGCAACTATAAAAATTGTGTGTTAGAGAGAGAGCGAGGGAGAGAGAGAGGTTATATTTGGCTTTTCCCTGAGTTTTAGTGATATTTTATCAGTGAAGAAACAAAAACCGAAAGGACATGCACCTACTTGGGGGAGTGAGAGAGAGGACATGCGCCTACTAGGGAGGGAGAGAGAGAGAGAGAGAGAGAGAGAGAGAGAGAGATTATGTGCATGAGCAACAGAGTGATCATGCAAACAACTCCATTGAATAGAGAAAGATTATTTAGTTTGTACTAATCTGTTGTAGATGCAGAGAGAGAACACATCCAACCAACTTCTGTGTGTCATTGTGTGTGTGAGAGGGAGAGAGAGAGAGAGAGAATATTCAGTTAATGTGTATCCAAGAGAGAGATTATGAGACATGCTTATCAGAGCAGCCCAGCTAGGTGACCAGATTTCGGTCTTTATTTCAGCCCGGCTGGGCTTGTCCAATTATACTCTATACCCAAAATGGCTCCCGCAGCCCATTAGCTGGCCCAGCCCGGAAGCCTAGGGCCCGCCCTGTCCATTGGCAGCCCTACTTGGAAGTAGGGATTGGAAGTACTACTGGAATCTATTTGACGTGTCTTCAGTAATGGCAGAGTCAATGGGTGCCATATTTCTCAAATTCTCAGAAAGAAAGTAAAGGTACCATGTCCTTGTCATGTCTTTTTAATGCATTGTTGTCGAGGAGGGGAAGAATATCTTTGGAAATTGTGTTCTATTTTTTTTTTCCTGAAGTATTTGGAAAAAGAGAAACAATGGGATCTTTAATGTTCTTTACATAAACTATTGGAGCTTGAGAAAGTAGAGAGTTTTTTTTTTATTAATAATGTTAACCTTGTATTACTATAAAAATGAAAGTATACAGCAGAAAGAGGGAGGAAAGGACCGAGAATACCTACGAGAAAGTACAGAGAGTTCAATGATTTTGTGCAACATAATCCTAAAGAACTTGGTTGGGTTGGAAATTAGTCACTTGGAGTTACTCATTGAGAACTAGACAAAAGGATGCTACTGGGCCCAACTTCCAAACAGAATCCTAGAGTTCAATTTTAGCAGAAGTTCTCAAGGGCACATGGGTCCAGGTGGGTACATGCGACTTAAATAAGGCTGAGGCGATGGCCCCGGAGATGGGGATTAAGGTTTACTTTTGCTTTTTCTCATGCTCCTTGATTGCATATGGAGGCTCAATCAGTGCTATCTGAGGCACCTAAAAGATAACTGGATTCCCCTTGTAGATTAACATATATTATGGCTATCATTTGTTAGATTTGGGGGGTGGTCTTTGTACCTTGTTTCCCAAGAAGCCTGCAAAGAGGCCGATACCCTTGTTCGATAGGATGTGGACACGGATTTCACTCTCGTGGTATCCTCTTATGAGTTTATCCCCATGGTATTACTTGCAGAGGATATGATCCCTTCGTTGTTGGCTTACATGCTTGCCTAACTTATCTGTTATGGTTTCTCTTGTTAATCATTGTGAAAAGTACTGTGAACACTGCTGTAGACAGTGGCATGAACAGTAAAAACTAGAGAGAAAGGGAAAAGTAGAGGAAAAAAAATACAGGGGAGAAAAGATGAAGGAGAAGAGAGAGAGAGAGGTACATAGACTAATTGCCTATCCCACATGTTCCTCTTAAACATTATTTCTAATAACTGGATGATAACATTATATAAATGCCCTTTAAGTACTTTAGTAACACCTAATGTCCTAAAGTTTATAAAAAAGACAAAGATACCCCATACTACATTCAACACTCATAACCATGTAATGATTTAATCTTTAGCACTTCCCCTCAAGCAGGAGCATAGATATCACCCATGCCCAACTTGGAACAAATCTGCCGAGTCTGGTTACGATCAAGAGACTTGGTAAATATATCAGCCAATTGATCAATCGACTTCACATATGGAGTTGTTATCTGCTTGCTTGTCACTTTTTCCTGAATAAAATGGAAATCAACCTTGATATGTTTTGTTCTCTTATGAAAAACTGGGTTGCTAGCAATATGTGTCTGCTAGCCTGATTGTCACAGAACGTCTTCATTGGCTCAATAATCAAGAATCCCATTTCCTTCATCAAGGTTTTCAACCACATTAGCTCACATGCAGCGTGAGCCATTGCGCTATACTTAGCCTCTACACTAAACCTTGCTACCACATTTTGTTTCTTGCTTTTGTAGGTCACCAAATTTCATCCAACAAAGGTACAATAGCCTATAGTGGATTTTCTATCTGATTGAGATTCTGCCCAATCAGCATCAGAATAGCTATCAATTCCAAAATCGCCGTTCTTCTTGTAGATGAGTCCTCGACCTGGAGCCCCCTTCAAATATCTCAAAATCCTTCTTACTGCTTCCCAATGTGGTGTTCTGGGGAAATGCATAAACTGACTTACTACACTCACAATAGAGGCTATGTTTGACCGAGTTATTGTTAGGTAGATAAGTTTTCTTACAAGCCATCGGTATACCAGGGTCTTTTAATAAATCACCATGATCCTTTGACAGTTTAATACTTGAATTTATAGGTGTATCAACTGTCTTAGCACCCAATATCCCTGTTTCTGTCAACAAATCTATTACATGTTTCCTTTGAGATAAAACTTATACCATATTGGGACCTGGCTACCTCAATTCCAAGAAATTACTTAGCTGTCCCAAATCCTTTGTCTGAACATACCGTTGCAGATAACTCTTCAATTTATTAGTTCCTTCTTGATTACTCCCTGTGATAATGATATCATCAACATAAACCACCAAGATAATAATTCCAGTAGATTGTTTCTAAATAAATATGGAATGATCCACATGGCTCCTTCAAAATCCATATGTCATGACAATTTCGCTAAACTTCTCAAATCATGCACGTGGGGACTGCTTCGGTCCATAACTTGCTTTCCTCAACTTACATACTTTGTCTGACTCCCCCTGAGCAACAAACCCTGGTGGTTGTTCCAAACCCTGGTGGTTGTTCCATATACACCTCTTCTTGTAGATCACCATGAAGGAAGGCGTTCTTAACATCAAGTTCCATCGTTTATTTGTTGTTACATATATAAGCACTCAGACCAAATTAAGCTTGGCTACTGGTGCAAATGTCTCAGAATAGTCAATACCAAAGGTTTGTGTATACTCCTTGAAGAATAGGGTTAAGACATCTATATGGAAACAGTCTCTAGCCTTATGTTCATGAACAAAGAAGAGAGTGTGGGTGCATGTGCCGAGCACATGAAGCGTGTGATGTGCACTTGCACGTGCACACACGTGGGTACTAGGGCGCTTGAGGCACAATTTGTGCGCTTGCATATGCGCAGGGGCTTCTTTAGCCTATGCACAGGTATGGGTTGCACTCATGGCTTGCTTTCTTTTTATGAGACACAAAATAGACTCGTTGACCCATATGTCGGAAGGCATGCATATGCGCAACAACTATACTCCTAGCTGTTGGATTAGGCACGCAGTTTGTGTTGGTTTTGTGACTGTTGGAGCAACGTAACAGTTTGTAACCATTGGATGGTGACTGTTGGGTTCCTACCATTCACATTGCATTGTGAATGGTCACTACTGTTCACTTGATAAGCCATCTTCAGTCTATAAATAAGGGTCTGTTTTTACTTTTTTACCACACAATTTTCTTATCCATTTTCGCACTCATACTTTCTCTCTCTAAATTTTTGTATTGATTTTCTATCTATAAAATTCGTGCTCTCTTTCTCTCTACATTGAGGCAACTCTAGGACTTTGAAGGTTTGTCATTTCAGTGCATTAAAATGGCGAGATTATTAGAGATCTTTTGTTTTCAGATGTCCCGAGGACTAGTTTTCCCTGTTCACCTTTTTGAACCCTTTGATATACGTCAGTAAGGAGAGCCATGATAGTCTTGGGATAACACCTTAGGGTGACTGAAACGGAAGGTCCGTCCATCTTTCATAAGTTTTTATTTATTCATCCACGACAATATTACTTTGCCTGTGTTTCACCCACCCAATTTTCAACAATTCAAGACTATATTTTAGGCTGAGTTAGGTTCTTATTGATGTCTATGACTGTTTATACGTCGAAATGTTTTTACATGGACACTCTTGATGAAACACCTCTATAAGTATGGAAGTGAGGCCGCTTCCTATGAGATGGGACTCGTCTCTAGAGTATTTATGAAATCAGGATATAAGCACAAGGCCCAAAACGTGCTACTTGCTAAAAGACACCAGAGATACATATTATTTGTGGGTTGAATTACTGGTCTGTTGGAAGGAATGTGGTTCAAAGTTATACACTACTATGAAACTTTATGGAATTTGTAGTGCATATTTTAAGTGAAGGTTCAAACTTCAAATCGGATATACCTTCATGGTATGCAAATAATACATGGTTGCCTACATTTTTCATATTATTTTAAAATAGTGGAGGAAATGTTAATATTTTTGGTTTTAAAAGTACTAGTTAGTATTTCAAAATAATATACTTTTAAATAACAATTTTTGAAGTTTTTAATAAAGAGAGAGAAAGTCGTGGTTTTTTAATTCTACATTGAAGAATAGAGTTAAGAATGAGTCGCATTTATATAGAAACACTCTCCAGCCTTATGTTCGTGGAACAAAAGAGAGTGTATGGATGCATGTACAGAGCACGTGAAGCATGCAACGTATTCATGGACACAAGGGCACTTGGGGCAAACTTTGCGCTTTGCATGCTGGCATCGGCGCAAAGGCGTCCTTAGCTTGTGCAAGGGTGCAGGTTGGGCTCGCGACTCGCTCTCTTTTTATGAGATGCGGTATGGACTCATTTACCAGCATATCAGACGGCGTGCATGCGCGCAACAGGTATATTCCTAGGTGTTGGATTAGGCGCTGCAGTTGTGGCAATTTTTGACTGTTGGAGCGGCGGTTTTAGCAGTTTATGACCGTGACTGTTGGGTTCCTAACAGTCACTTTGCATAATGAATAGTCATTACTGTTCACTTGAAACGATACCTTATACTCTAGAAATAGGGTCTGTTTTTACCATTTTAAAACACATTCTTCTGACCCGTTTTCTCTCTCATAGCTTCTCTCTCTAAATTTTGTTACTGATTTCTCTTTCTAAAATTTGTGCTCTCTTTCTCTCTTTTAAATTGCATTAAAAAGATTGTTTGTTTTCATATATCCCGAGGACTAATTTGCCAGGTTCACCATTTTGCACAATAATATACATCAGTAAGGGGGCAAAATATTATCTTGAGACAGCGCCGTAGCGTGATTGAAAACAGGAAGATTCTCCCATCCTTCATCAATTTTTATTTATTCCTCCGCAACGATGTTACTCAACCCTCGTCTCACCCACCTAATTGTCAACAAGACAAACACAAATAGATATACACAAACTAGTTGACAACAAACATGCACTGATAGATAGATATACGTATAGACAATTAGATAAACCAACCATCTAATGGGTAAACTGATTAACACTAGACAAAATGTGTGGTTAATAGATGTGTAGACAGATAGGAGGAAAAACATATTAAAGATATGGGGACACCTCGATGGGTAGAATTGGTAACTGAGTCCTCCCTTTCCCCCCATTATCCACTGTGGTATTTTGTTTCCAAATGTGGTTCTTGGTTAGATAATAACGCTGGTAGATGTTTCACTGCCTTTTTTGCAGCTCAATCTACTTGATTCTGTAGTAAAGGAGTAGTTTTCTATGAACATGTCAGTGACACATATTTTATGCAATTATGTTTATGAACATTTCAGCAACACTTTTTGGCTCTAATTGTGGCTAAATGTATTTTGATGTATTTCACTGCAGAAACTCATTGCTTATGATCATTTGGAAGGTGATCCTGGTTTAGAGGGGGGTAAAAGTTCTCCACTATTTACTGATATCCTCAACACAGTGTGTGGTTGCATTGACAATTCTTCTTCTGATAGGTATGAATTTCATCCTTGTTTATTCCATGTTCTACGCGTCCAGGTCATCAATTTTTCTAATTTTTGTGAAATGTGTTGGGAACTGCAGTACTGTTTTGCAAGTGTTAAAGGTTCTTCTAACTGCTGTTGCATCAACAAAATTTAGAGGTATGCAGTCAACAATCAACATTTTTGTCTTCTATATGCCCCTGGTTTCTTTGTCTTGTATTGCCCATGAAGGCAGCTCATTGAATCCTATTGTATGTCCATGATCAAGTCTCACTGTTCCCGTACGCCTGACCTCTATGTTTTTCTCACCTCAAGGGTCTTACAAGAGGAAAGCTATCAGTAAATTGCCTTTTTAAAAGTCAGCAAGATCTTTTTATGGATTTTGCTTTTGTCTCGATGTTGTTGTAGGCTTTCTTTTTTATCAATATGGAGTTGCATTTAAGTATGGGCACGTATTTCTAATCCTTTGGTCAGAAGACATACTTGGATCTTTTCGATCCGAAATTTTGGGAACCACTTAAGAATTACTAGATGCTTATTTTCAGTAAAAAATAAAAATAAATAAGAAATAAAATTTAAGTTTTTTAACACTTATATCTCTCCATCTAAAAATTGGATGGTCTCTATTCTAGGGGTGAGAATTTTCCTGATCTGGTTCGGATCCACCTAGATCTGGATCTGGATCCGAATAGTATACATCGGATCCGGATCCAAATCCGAAATTTTATATAAGATCTGAATCTGGATCCGGATTTACTTCCCTTTGAATTGAAGTTTGTAATTTCCACACGCCCTAATGAATTATATATATCAGCACTTATTAGTGATAATTATGAAAATAATTGTTCAATAACAAGAAAAGGCTTACGAAAATGCCCGAATTTAGAAACAGAAATTTTATTGCCATTGCAAAGAACAATACACATGAATCCCAAAAGTAAATTTTCATGAATATGAAAGGCACCTAATTGTGCTGATAGAAACAAAAAAATGGGAAAAAAAGAGAGATGTTATTGAATTGTTTGAATACATTTTTTTCTCATCCACCAACAGAAATCTGAAAAAAAAAAAAAACACATACTTGCTCCCATGTCAGGCAAAAATGAGTGGGTGTGGAAAGAGAGAGAGAGGGAGGAGAGAGAGAAGTCGGTCAGTTGGTAGAGAGGGAAAGAGATGAATGTGGGGTGTGAGGAGAGAGAGAATTGAGCAATGGGTGAGAGAGAGAGAGAGAGAGAGAGAGAGAGACATGGGTATGTTATAGGCATGGGGTTGCCATCTCCACTTGGTATAGAGGTTATCGGGCCTCCCATTCTTAGAGTAGCGAAACCCATCATCGATGAAAGGGCAACCCTCGACTGATACAGAGGTAAAGACTCATCCCAAACGCAAGACCCATCATACAAATCACACCCACTCATTGTTAAAAAAAGTGGATCGCCAGCGTTTAAGCGGTCCCCAGGCCTGGGCGGCCAAATTGGGCAGCAGTCCCTGGGCGGCCGCTTAGTACGTAACCTAAACCCACAAGAACCCATTTTAGAGAGAAAGAAACCTCAAGAAAACTATATTTTGTGACTTTCATTGGATCAAAGTGTTTCTCAAAGTTATGAAAAACAGATCCAAACATCACCCAGGTAGATTTGATTTATTTTTGGAGTTTTATAATCCTATTAGAGGGTGTTTTGATTGTTTTAGCACCATAAAACATCTCAGATGTGGGAGTTTGGAGTTCGAGCAATCAAAGTAAGTGCAAAACTTTATTTTTTAGATTGCTTGTTTTATTTTGAAATGTCTTCTTCAGGATCTAGTCGAAGTGGAGATCCAGGTTGAAAATATAGATATAACTCGAATCCAAATGACAAAAATTGCATTGGATGCAATTTTTGTGAAAAAGATACAAATGGGGGCATAAACTGGTTTAAGAAACATCTTGTCGGTTTTAAGGAGGATGTTGCCTTTTGTAAAAATGTTCCTGAAACTATCCGAGAGGAGATTAAGCAATATATGAATTCTGTAAAACAAAAACAGGAACAAAGTCCTTGTCATTTGAGTAGATCTATTTCTGCTGCTTTTAGAAGAAGTGATCCGGGTTGGAAGTATGGTTATAACCCAAAACCAAACGATAAAAGTTGTATAAGGTGTAATTTTTGTGAAAAAGATACCAATGGGGTGTTAATCGATTCAAGAAACAACTTGTTGGTATTAAAGGGAATGTTGTTTCTTGTAAAAAGGTTGCTGAAGCTATTCGGGATGAGATTAGTCAACTTTTGAATTTAAAAGAATCAGAAAATGAAGAAAATGAGCCATGTTCTATAGAAATATCTTCTCCAGGTTCTTCTAGAAGTGGTGATCCGGGTTGGAAGTATGGTTATAACCCAAATCTAAATGATAAAAATTGTATTAAATATAATTATTATGGAAATGATACTAATGGGGGCATTTATCGGTTTAAAAAATGCCTTACTGGTATTAAAGGAGATGTTGCCCCATGTAAAAATGTTCTTGAGGCTACCAGGGAAGAAATTATACAATATTTGAGTTAAGAGAAGCACAGAAAGATAGAAAAGGGTAGAGCAGCCAAAACTCCTAGGACCTCATCTGCACATACTAGTAAGAGGGAGGCAGAAGAAGAAGAGGGGGAAGAGGCAGATTCAGAAGAAACAGAGGAGGACGAGCGTTATATTGAAGAGGGAGACGACTCTGATGATGATGGTCTCGAATCTGGTGCATATGACGAAGCTTACCCTATTCTTTCTGATGACGATGATGATGATGACGACTAAAGACTCTTGGTGTTGAATGTTGACTGTTGTGTTGAGTGTTAACTATTGTGTCCTAGACCTTCGGTTCAGCTCGCCTCCATAGCCACTCACATGCTTTCCATAGCCCCCTCATTTTTTGGATTTTTTGAAAGCTTCATGTAATTTTTACGTTAGGCGGTCTTATAAGCCCTTTTTGTACATGATACATTCCAGTCCATCCCCTTGGGGGTGAATTTCGCCCTCTCTCTCTTGAACACTTCATACGCAGTAATACAATGTTAACCTTCTTAAAAAAAAAACTATTTGTGTCCTAAAATGTATATTTTTTGAATTTCTATATATTTTCTTTTTCTTATTTTTAGTTTCTACTTTCTAGTTTCTAGTTCTACTATCTAACTTTTGTACGTACAGTCAACAATGTATCAGATTATCAGTGTATGCTTGTATAGTTTTACTGTTTTAGCATTGTATGAAAATATAGATTATGCTCTTATGGATTATCAAAATTCTCTTTTGGATTTCTAATCTTTTTTTTTTTAATTGGGATTATGGTCTTATGGATTATCAAATTGCTTATGGATTATGGTCTTATGGATTATTAAAATTCCTATGGATTAATCATTATCAGTCATCAATTTTTTTTTTTCAACTGGGCCGCCCAGGTTTTGGGCGCGTGCCTAGGCACTGGGCGGCCGCTTAGCGCTTTTGAAACACTGCACCCACTCTTCTCCACCTCCATGAAATCAATCCTCTCTTTCTTAGGCAAATATTTTTGAGCATTGTATCTCAGATACCTTTGCTGCCTTCCCAACAAGAAACCCCCATTAAAGACACTGATATCAAGATAAAGAAGTCCAAAGAAACATGCACCATGAAGCACAGAAACCCTAGAATCCTAAGGCAAAAAACCGGTTAATTTGGCTTGAGAACTCTACGAAATCCCCTCAACAACTCCATTATTGCGGCAAGTCCTTTGTGCTCTTCTTTCATGTCAAAAAACCAGAGGCATTTGCTTCACCCTACCATGTGTCACTTTCTGTTCTTTCACTGTGCTGGAGATGAGTGTTGTGCAAGTAAGGGGTTATTCATGGGGCACTATCTCATGCTATCTTTCATGGCCATATGTGTACAAATCATTTTGGAGAGACTTGTTTTTTTTCTTATTCCTGAAATGGAATGGAGTTATACAAGGAAGAGGGTATTCATGGCGATGGAGCGGCAACAGAGAATGGGCTGGTAGAAACCCTAAGTAGCTAAGTGTGTATTTTGTTTAGAGAGAGAGGAGATCCCCCCGTTCATCTTCAATTAATATATGGTGGGGCATAAATCTTCTAAAATTTAAAAGTGTTATATATTATATTATATTTGATTATATAAATTATAACTTATATATGTATATATAATATAAATTATATTATTTTTAAAAACTGGGTCGGATCCGGATTGGATCCACCTGCACTTGCATCCGATCCGGATTTTTATTTGGATCTAAAATTTGGGTCCGAATCCATACCCAGATCCGAAGAGGATCCGAATTCCTGGTTTCGGATTCGGATCGGGTAAATTCTCAGCCCTACTCTATTCAATCTCGAGACATTAGTTTTTTCAAGTGCATAGAGGGTACAGTTGGAAATTCTTCTTTTTCTTGAGATCAATCTTTGGGTTGAAGATTCCAAAAATTTGGGTTAATTCTAGGTGAGGTTTTACCGGAGGAAATAAATGCGCATTCTACTTCGTCGGGAGGAGAATATCTTTTGACTTTAAGTATACATGATTCAAACTCACTCTGATGTCATATATAATGCAATTACTTTTTATAGTGATGCTTTTGGTTGTATGTGTATCAATTCAATGCATGATATGGTTACTGGTGATGGTGGGCAATATATCATAGCAAATTTAGAACTAAGTGTTGTTATGCTTATTGTTGAGGTGCAATATGGCAACAAACTCTATAGTCTGTGGTACATATGAGCTACTTATATATCTCTTTCTTTGCTTGCAGTTCATGGGGAATGCCTGTTGGGTGTGATCAGAGTATGTTATAATATAGCTCTTAACAGGTATTGGATGGTTTATTTTATGCAATAAAAGTTAGGTTCATGCACACATTGATCAAATGTGAAGAAGGTAAATCTTTTATTTTGTAGCAAGAGCCCTATAAATCAAGCAACATCAAAGGCAATGTTGACCCAGATGATCAGCATCATTTTTAGAAGAATGGAATCTGATCAGGTATATGATCGCATATCTCGAACATTCTGTCTAGCATTCTCTACCATTTTGATATGCAGGGATGTGTTTTAAAGTTGGAACCCAACAGCTAACCGAAAAAAAGTATATATGCTTCTGGTCCAGAATCAGAGTGTTGTTTCTCAGAGTACGGAGAAAAGAATCCTAGCTGCTCTTTCTGCATCTGATGGTGCTGAGCATCCAAATGAAACCTCAGATAACAGCCTAAACACAGGAAAAGAAATTTCCATGGAAGACCAAGATGCAAATAATAGTACTTTGGGTGATGCTCTTTCCATGGGCCAATCAAAAGATACTTCTCTTCTATCTGTCGAAGAACTCCAGCAGCTTGCTGGTGGTACTGATATCAAGGTTCCCTAATTCTGCTTTCATACTTGTAGTATTAAACTTTGTTTGTCAATGTCAAGAGATTCAGTTCATAAGTATATCAAAAATTATTTTATCTTCTCTGTTATGCAATTCCAGTCATTAAGCTAGGTATAACTGAATATTATATCTGTCGGCCAGGGTCTAGAGGCTGTTCTTGACAAGGCAGTTCATCTTGAGGACGGAAAAAAGATATCAAGGTATAACAAGGTTCTACCATTGAATGCTTTGTGTTCTTGGTCATTGTTATGAGATTTTTTCTGTTTGCATACTAGTATTCTTTTTAGTTTCAATGAATCTTATTGCCTTCTATTCTTTTAGGGGAATTGATCTTGAAAGCATGAGTATAGGGCAACGCGATGCTTTATTGCTTTTTCGTACTCTTTGCAAGGTGTGATTTCTTTAGGTCTCCCTTGTTTCTATCGAAGATACATGCTTGATCATGTTTTTAAATAATTCTAGGAATACGTAATATCTGCAGATGGGTATGAAGGAAGAGAATGATGAAATTGCTATGAAGACACGGCTTTTGTCTCTTGAACTTCTCCAGGTTCTTCTCATTTGCTTCGTGTTATACTTTGGTTATTGAGAATGTATGAAGGAGACTGTACTGTATGACTTTTATTAACTTGCAGGGCTTATTGGAAGGAGTGAGCCAATCTTTTACGAAGAACTTCCATTTCATAGATTCTGTCAAGGCATATCTTTCTTATGCTTTGCTCCGTGCATCAGTTTCCTCATCCCCTGCAGTATTTCAGGTTAGCTCCATTTTCTGTTCGCTTAAATTTCCTAATTATATGTCTCATTTGAGTCTGAATCTCTATGCAGCTTAGAAAGTAACATGAAAAATGAACTTAATTTTGTGGGTCTTATTGAAGGCTTCATTCCCTATGAGTGTTTATCTATGTTTTGTCCTTTTAACAGTATGCAACTGGAATCTTCACTGTGCTTTTACTGCGATTCAGGGAGAGTCTAAAGGTAATTTGGCATGACGTGTGTCAATCTCGAATCTGCTGCAAAGGAATTTTTTAATTTTATCTTTTTGTACAGTTTTTTGTGTCCATTAATTCTTAAAAATCCATTGGCAGGGGGAAATTGGAGTGTTCTTTCCCTTGATAATCTTACGGTCCCTTGATAGCTCTGATAGTCCTCTTCACCAAAGGACTAGTGTTCTCAGGTAAAGTATTTTCTGACTGATCATAATTTTTACGCACTTCTGTTCCCTTCATGTTTTTCCTCATTTGGTGAGGAAAAGTATCCCGTCCACATGATGTGGATGGATGGAACGATGCACAAGCACCTTTCTTGGTTGAGATTTCAATAAAAATGATTTAAAATATTTTAAATAAAATAACTAAGATACCTTTGAATTTATTTTGATCAATATTTTTTATTCAACATATTTTTTTTATAATTTTAATTTAATTCTACTTATAGTAATGAACCTAAATCCCAAATTTCATAATTAATATAATTTAAACAATATAAATTAAAAACAAAATTTATTTTCAGCCCTTTCATGGGGCTGGTTCAATCTGAACCATTTAAAGGTGCTTGTGCACCTTTTAAGCATCCACAACATGTGGGCGCAATACCAACCTTTATTGAAATTTATCCATGTGAGCTTAAATATATACTGTTATAAAGAATTGGAAGGTGGAAAGTGGAGTGACAAGCAGAGTTGCTGCTCAGTCGTTTGTGATTATTTACCAGTGTCACAATGGTTCCACAATGTTGCCATTCACTTCATTTGTCCTTTTGAACGCTTCTCTCACTGTTTAAAGCTCTTTCATTGAGAGGTCACCTTTTATCTGCTATTCTGCTCATGTAAAGTGATTGGATATTTTCTGTGGTGATCTGTGTGAATATTTGCATTCATGATTTTGGAAGGAACATTGATATAAACTGCTCCAAATGGCAGAGATAAACTGTAGGCGTCTAAATTAGGGGTGTCAAAATTTGTAATGGCCTGTGTACGATAATCATTCAGTGGACTAATGGAGGCTTAGTTCCTAACATCCTATACAAATATATCTAGGGGAATATCACTTATCTTGCCCTTCGAACTATGAATAAAATACACAACTACATGTGTATACTTAATTAAAAACTTTTAGGACTGGAGGTTACTATGAATAAAATACACAACTACATATGTATAATTAATTAAAAACTGTTAGGACTGGAGGTTATACCCCTGATATAGAGTTTTACAAATACATGCAATCAATACTCCCCACCTTAAACCAGTGGTTTAAAAAATGGATCGGTGCCCTGAATTGGGCACCCTAAAAACCTATCCGGATCGGTGAATCGGCGTTTCAGATCGGGAATCGGTCAGATTTGGCCTTAAAAAAGTCCAAAAAAAGTATTAAAAATCATTATAAAGGTTGTTTTTTGGGAATCCAATAAGAAATTGGGGCACTACATTAAGAACTTTTATTTTTTCATCAATATGCGAATATTGAGATGTTCTTTCCCTGTATGAATAAATTTAAAATTTTTCTTATAATATCATCTAATTTTTTTAAAAATTATTTACAGCTATAATAAAAATAATACATTATATAATTTATAATGTAAATAAATAAACAAATAAAATACAAGATTTGGTTATCCATGTATATTTATTAATAATAAACAGATGTGTGACCCTTACAAATAAATAAATCTACAAAAGTATAGAATTTAGAAACGTAAATTTGTAATTATATTATAATAAAATTAGAAAATATATAACTATCATACTTGTAATGTGGGATAATTGACAAAGCAACTTTAAAATAGATTTTAAAGTGGTTTGGGCAAGTGTTATTTTTTATCTTAAAATGTCCCATAAACTAGTAATTTTTAATGGTCAATAAACTAGTCTTAATATCATTTTTTGTTGTTCTCATATCCTAAAAGTTAGTACTGTTTTTTTCTTTTTGATCTCTATTTAACCAATAACCTAATGCCTAATATCTAATAAAAGGGTTATTTTTTATAGCAAAAAGCTTAATTTAATTTTAACAATGGATGTTAATACAATAGACAAAAAATATATGCCCCACATCGAAAAGATGAGGGAGCACTTCACTGTGTAAAAGATAGGGCACAAGGTGTTTGCTCGAGTCATCATGCCATGGTACAAAAAACATTTGCCCCACATCGAAAAGATGAGGGAGCACTTCACCGTATAAAAGACATGGCACAAGGCATATGTTTGAGTCGTCATGCGCGTGGTACAAAACTATAGGGGCAAGGCCATTTGTGTAAAAGACACGGTGGACATGAAAAAAGAGGCCAGGTTTTACTGTACCATGTAGTTTGTAAGGAAAAAGTTAGGTGGACGTGCCAAAAAAGCCTGGTGAACATGAAATTTTTCATTAAATTTTTTTTAAAAAAACAATGGAACCGCCCGGATCTCCGGATCTTGATCCAAAGTGGTATCACCGATACCCGATCCGGATCGCCCGATTACGGATCGGATCGGCGATATTTCAAACACTGCCTTAAACTGTCTTTGGCAATTCAACTTGGCATAGTTGTTCATAAACTTGTGTCCTGTTATGGTCATCCATTACTGAGAAGAGTTGCCAATTGAAGCTTGTGCTTGTTGATTTTGAGCTCATAAACCAAGTTGAGATCCTTGTTAATGGTTTAAACCTGATGAGTTTTACCGGCCCATATGTCATACAAAAAGTTAGTTATAAGCTGTTCTAATTTAAATCAACTTGGTGGGTTGTGGTATACTGTGAGAGTTGTAAATCCAGAACAAAATCCTTGATTACCTTCTAGTCATAATCCTTGTATTTATGCACTCTTAACAAGAACTCCTCTGACATAATATTAAAGTTATTTTTCCACATCATGGCAATTTCCTGAAGCAAGATTTATGCTTTTGACACTCCCATATTACTAGCGCTTAGTCCATATGAACTTTCACAATAATGTTGACTCTGTAACTTACCAGTGCTTTGTTATCTCGTTCTTGCTGATGCTTGTTTTTATTGTATCTTTCAAATGTGATGTTACCCCTTTGTATATTTTACTTAATTGATTTTTTAATTATTCATTACCTTGATGTATCTTGGCATGCTTGCATTTCTCTGGTGATCTCGTCTCAGGGGGTAGAATGTTTCTGGCCTTCTGTATTACGAATTAACATGACTTGCAGGATGCTGGAGAAGGTATGCAAGGATCCTCAGATGCTTGCTGATATATTTGTGAACTATGATTGTGATTTGGAGGCAGCTAATCTGTTTGAACGCATGGTAAATAATAATCATTTTGTCATAGAGGCAATTCATCTGGTGGATTGCTTCATTTATTTTGATGAACCACTAATATGAACATGTTACATCTGTTTATCTTTGTTTCTGGCTGAAGGTAAATGCTCTGTCAAAGATAGCCCAAGGGACTTTGCATGCAGATCCAAACACCGCTGCTTCATCTCAGACCACATCTACAAAGGCTTCGTCATTACAGGTGACTTCCACAAGCTGTTATTGACAGAGAAATGGATTCCTCATAGAAGATGTTCTGGCATTGTTTATATGCATGTCTTATGCAATTCAAAATTTGTCCCAACAGTGCCTTGTAAATGTATTAAAATCACTTGTTGAATGGGAGAGGTTGTGTCGAGAATCTACTGAACATTCAAGCAGCTTGCCGTACGCAGATGATGAGGTTTTCTTACGAAATGATACTAAAATAGATGAGATGAAAAGCAGGGATGATGTTACCAGTCATTTTGAAAAGGCTAAGGCCCACAAGTCAACTATGGAAGCTGCTATCTCAGAGGTATTCATGAAGCCTATTCATTGGGTTTTTAGATTGACTTGATTTATTTATTTATTTGTTTTTGTTTCTCTTCTCAGCATTCAAAGTGCATGTGTGTGTGGGTGTACATGCGCATGCCCATGCATGCATTCTTGACACTACAGTGTTCTTTAATCAGAAGGAATCCTATGGACTAAATCTTCTTTCTCCTTTCCTATACAGTTCAACAGGAGACCTGCGAAGGGCATAGAATACCTAGTTTCAAATAATTTGGTTCAGAACAGCCCTGCTTCTGTTGCCCAATTTCTTAGGAATACTCCTGGTTTGGATAAGGTGCTGAATTGTTTTCTTTTATCATTGCTTCAGTTTTTTCATTACATTGAACCAGATACTATAACAGGCATAACTTTTTATATTTTTGTAGGGAATGATTGGTGATTATTTGGGTCAACATGAGGAATTTCCCCTAGCTGTCATGCACGCGTATGTCGATTCAATGAAATTTTCTGGACTGAAGTTTGATGCCGCAGTACGTGAGTTCCTTAGAGGCTTTCGACTTCCCGGGGAAGCACAGAAGATTGACCGTATCATGGAAAAGTTTGCTGAGCGGTATGCACAATCTTGATTACAATCTGGAGTATTCGTTGCATGCTTAATACCTGATAGTCCACAGCACCATTATAACTGATACCCAATAGTTTGTTTATGTTATGCACTCTTATTTAATTCAAGAATAGGTCACATATTCATTACATGAAATGTTTTTGTCGTGAAAAATTTGCAGTTACTGTGCTGATAACCCAGGACTTTTCAAGAATGCAGATACGGCATATATTCTTGCATATGCTGTAATAATGTTGAATACTGATGCGCACAATCCAATGGTGTGGCCTAAAATGTCTAAATCAGATTTCATACGCATGAACACTGTAGCTGATGCAGATGAATGTGCTCCAAAGGAGCTGCTAGAGGAGATATATGATTCTATAGTCAAGGAGGAAATAAAAATGAAGGATGATGACATTGGTGGAAGCAGAAACAGCAGAGCTAGGCCCGAATCAGAGGAGAGAGGCCGTCTTGTCAGTATTCTGAATCTGGCTCTTCCTAGAAGGAAAGCGACTAATGATTCTAAAAAAGAAAGTGATAATATTGTTAAACACACTCAGGAATTCTTCAAAAAGCAAGGGGGTAAAAGAGGTGTCTTTTACACTGCTCACCAGATTGAACTTGTAAGGCCCATGCTTGAAGCTGTGGGATGGCCATTGCTGGCTGCATTTTCTGTCACCATGGAAGATAGTGATAATAAACCAAGAGTTCTTCTTTGTATGGAGGGATTTAGATCAGGAATACATCTTGCACGTGTTCTTGGAATGGATACCATGCGTTATGCTTTTTTGACTTCACTAGTGAGGTGAGTTTGTTCTCCTAGTGCTCATTTGAACTTCGAGTTGTCATTTATATTACACGTTTCTACCTGTTTTGGGGTACATTTGTTAACTTATCATTTTCATCAGTCTTGGATTTACACTGTGACATAACTAGTGTGCCACAAATTGGTACTGGCAGATTTACCTTTTTGCATGCTCCAAAAGATATGCGAAGTAAAAACGTAGAGGCTTTGAGGACTCTGCTCCTTTTGTGTGATGTGGAAACAGAATCGTTACAGGACACATGGAATGCGGTTTTGGAATGTGTTTCAAGGCTGGAATATATCACTTCAACCCCATCTATTGCTGCAACAGTAATGCAGGGCTCAAATCAAATCTCAAGAGATTCTGTTCTTCTGTCTCTTAGAGAGTTGGCAGGGAAACCATCTGAACAAGTATTTCTAAACAGTGTGAAGTTGCCGAGTGATTCAGTTGTGGAGTTTTTTACAGCCCTATGTGGCGTATCTGCAGAAGAACTTAAGCAAACACCTGCTCGAGTTTTCAGCTTGCAAAAACTTGTTGAAATCAGTTACTATAATATGGCTCGGATACGGATGGTATATACTCAACCTTAGATTTTTCATTTTTCTTGCTTGATGCACACACACAAAGTATTCATGCATGCATACAAACATAATGTATGCATGAATGCATGCATATTTATGTTGTTCATGAATGTTGGGTTCTCTTTTAGAATGAGATCTTAAAGCCATGTGTTGTTGTCATGGATCAACTCTCTCTTCTTCCATTTTTCAAATCTCAAACTGAGGCACTTGGCGACTTAAGTAATTTTTCATTACTTTTATTTGATCATGGAAAGTTTGTATGTTGCATCTAAATCAGGTATGGGCGCGAATATGGTCTGTTCTGTCTGTCCAATTTATTACTGCTGGAAGCCACCATGATGAGAAAATCGCGATGTATGCTATTGATTCACTTAGGCAGCTTGGTATGAAGTACCTGGAGCGCGCAGAGCTAACCAACTTCACTTTTCAGAATGACATCTTGAAGCCTTTTGTTGTTCTCATGCGTAATAGCCGTAGTGAATCTATACGCAGTCTAATTGTTGACTGCATTGTCCAAGTATGTATATTTTGAACTCTTTCTTTATTGCTAGTTAGGCATATTCAATTGAATTTCTTATATCAACAAATTTATTATCAAATTGTGGTGATCCGCTATCACTAATGAAAAGGAATTTATGGTGATGTACTGATGTTGTTCATGTTTCAGTAATTGCTGTGAGTATTTGTAAATCTGTTTCTGCTTGTTTCCATCCAGATGATAAAATCTAAGGTTGGAAGCATAAAGTCTGGCTGGCGAAGTGTGTTTATGATTTTTACTGCAGCTGCTGATGATGAAATAGAGCCTATTGTTGAAAGTGCTTTCGAAAATGTGGAGCAAGGTATGCCACATGAATATTTTATCCTTACTTTGGTCAATGACTATGAGTATCTACAGGCCGTGGTATGATAAAACTTCTCAAAGTACTCCATTCTGGAATCTTCTTCTTGTATTATTACTTTATCGCTCCCTCACTCTAAACGTGAATGCATTGCAGTTATCCTGGAACACTTTGATCAGGTGGTTGGGGATTGCTTTATGGACTGTGTTAATTGTCTTATTGGGTTTGCTAATAATAAAAGTTCCCCAAGGATCAGTTTGAAGGCTATTGCTCTTCTTCGTATATGTGAAGACCGTCTTGCGGAGGTCTGTTTGCTGAAGCTTTTTGCTAAATCTTGTTTTGTTTTTCTACATGATATTTTTAAGTTGTAAGATTGGAATTGTTACCATTGTTTTTCCTTCCCTGTATTCTCATGCATTTCTTCCTTTTTTTTGGTAATTTTGCTGGTGTTTAGTGATCATCATGTGGATGCTTATGAAATCTAGGCATTTATCACATACTTGTCTTGTGACATCCACAATGGACTAAGAAGATGGTCCTTGGATTAAGAAGATGGTCCAATCTAAATTATCTTTTTCGGAATGTCCCAATGGACTAATAAATGATGGGAATGAGAACTGGAATTATCTTTATGAAGTTTCTATCTATGGCTGTTATGGGGGTACTTTTTCATTTGTGGAAAATATTTGGTATAGATATGGTAGGGGACCAATTTATACAAGTCTTCTAATATTGTTTTCTATGTCTGTCAAGAAATATAGATTTTCTATATTTCTTTGAAAAGGGTAAGGGTATTGTGGACAATATGCCTTGTGATGAGCCTTACTGTGTATCTAGAACTGGAGTTATTGTTGGGAGGGACTTCGAGATCATTAGGGATGATGATGGGTTTGCGTAGAGGTCATGGTGAATTGAAATAAAAGTACAATGTGTGAGGGACTCGGAGGAAGTTGTGGATAATGATGGGGCAGTTTCCAATGATGTTGGAAGACCGTCTAGTGATAGAGCCAAGGATGAAACTTATGAAGAGCAAGGGAGATACTTTGTTGAGAAAAACACCCACAATAAACGGATGGGGCATGAATGATGTGTTCTGGGAACTTTTGTAAGGGTCTACAAAGGGTGCCATGCTGTTCACGATGCCCTATCAATGAGGCTTACTGAGTCTTTGGAGTCAAGTATGAATACAAAAACGGATGGGGCATGAATGATGTGTTCTGGGAACTTTTGTAAGGGTCTACAAAGGGTGCCATGCTGTTCACGATGCCCTATCAATGAGGCTTACTGAGTCTTTGGAGTCAAGTATGAATACAAAAACGGATGGGGCATGAATGATGTGTTCTGGGAACTTTTGTAAGGGTCTACAAAGGGTGCCATGCTGTTCACGATGCCCTATCAATGAGGCTTACTGAGTCTTTGGGGTCAAGTATGAATACAATCTAAGGGTGCAGTGAGGGAGAGGATAATGCGGCTGGGGTTAAACTGTTGCATTCTAATCCTTGGGCGGAGGTACCTAATGGTAATTCAGTTGGTGAATGGTGTGGCCAGTATGTAGAAAACTCGAGTGAGTCGTCATCATCATCCTCTGATTTGTCAGAACATTGGGTATTAGGAGGAGAAACCATGTGAACGAGAACTTCCTTCGCTCATGGATCTCTCCTGTGAAGGTGATTTGCTGAGAGTAATACAGTTGTATAACACTATAGAGGAAAGTGGAAAAGGGAAGGGTAAATGTCAGGTAAAAAATCTTCTCTAATATCAATTGTGATAGATCCATAGAGGGAAACGAGTGATTGGAAGGGAGAGAGTTGAATGGAGAGGAACCCCGAAGAACGATGTTTCACACGACGATATTATTGTGGAACATTCGGGGTAATGACAACCTGGAGAAAAAGAGGAATGTGAAAACACTAGTCTAAAAGCATAGGTGTGAGGTGGCTATGTTGCAGGAAGTTAAGTTGGAGGCTGTGGTAGGGTGCTGGTGAGAGTGTTCTGGGGTTCATAAGAATGGGAATGGTATTTAGGAACTCAAAATCCTCTTTTTATTTTTTGGTTGAAAAATGCTCATCTGGAACTTGAGGGGTTATTTCTTTGTTTCATGCAGTCATTAATAACGTTATTATTTTAAGGCAATAATGGACAGAAGCAATGCTCGAGTCCTATCTAGACCAAGAACTATGTGTCCATCTGCTGCCCACACCAAAATCGATGGAGTGTTCTGAAAAACACCTGCTAATGAAGGAACACCTCCTAGGAATAGGGGAATAGGGGACATAGGGCTGAAGGGATTGCAATAAAAGGATCCTGTGTGTGAAAGGGGCTGGGGTCGTGGTGGTAGCACCCCCACACACTAGTCACCACATTGTGGTGTCCATTCCCACCACTAACACCACCTCACTAACACCTTCAAAAAGCTAACTCCTAATCTACTTGAAAAAAAGGGTAGGGGCCTGTCTTCCCCACGAAATTACCCAAAAAAAAAGGATCCTTTGTGTATAATCCTACATAATGGGATAAATCCAGAAAAAAGGGTGGCCCACAGGTGGTGTCCTGTGATGCATGAGAAGTTAAGTCAAAGAAGTGATGAAAATTTAAATATAAATGTTGAAAACTATTTGATACGACTTCAATTTGCTATTTCCTGTTGTCTAAAACTCACAGGTAGGCTAGATTGTATGACAATGAGTCACTAAACATGTTCTTTGTTCCATGGGATTTTAACAAAAGTTGGTGGGACATTATTAGTACATGCACTGCCCACAATTCAGAGCTAACAAGTCCCTGGTCATCACTGGTTTTTTATTCTTATCATTAATAATGAATGACTGTATTGGCATCTCCTACCATCATAACAATCTCATATACTCATGCAGTAAGAGCCATTGTTTGCTGATGACTCAGTATGAATACATGGCTTTTGAATTACGCAAGAGCTGTCATGCAGGGTAACCATCCATGGCACCAATTTTTGGTATTTTACATATTTTTAAGAAGTATTGTATGTGGAAAAAAGGACAAGGCATCTGTTTCCAAGCATTGGTGCATCACTGTTTGAGAGCATATCATTTCAGCTTTAGCATGAAATAGGAGCGGCCAATTTACTTTATGGAAGACAGTAAATTTGAAACATTATGTTGTATATGTACTAACAACACCATGGTTTATATGGTACTTTGCTTGTGTTTCTCATTTCTGAATACATTGTGATATAAGCAAGATTTCAACAGATCTTTAATTACTGTAGCCTTCTTTAGTAACTTGGTGATGATTGATTAAATATGGATATGTTTGTTGCAGGGTCTGATCCCAGGTGGTGCTCTTAAACCGGTTGATGTGGGTGGGGATCCTAATTTTGATGTAACGGAGCATTATTGGTTTCCAATGTTGGCGGGCCTGTCTGATCTAACATCTGATCCTAGAGTGGAGGTCAGAAACTGTGCACTTGAGGTTCTGTTTGATTTGCTGAATGAGAGAGGCCACAAATTCTCCTCTGCCTTCTGGGCGAACATCTTCCACCGTGTTCTCTTTCCCATCTTTGATCATGTCAGGCATGTTGGAAGAGATGGTTTTTCTGCTGGTGATGAGTGGCTCCCTGAAACTAGCATTCATTCTCTACAACTCCTCTGCAACCTTTTCAACAGTTTCTACAAGGTAGCATTTCTCATTAATTAATTTCCTGCTTTGAACCAATCATACATTTGTATTAGCTCTGCACTTGATGAAGTCTTTGGTTCAATTATCTTAAACTACTGTTGTGTGTGAAGCTGGATCATTTAAGGAGATTTGTTTGTATGGTGTCTATGCTATACGCAGTCTAGTACATGGGTGGAATCTGTCCAATAGGGGTTTTAATATTTCCACCTATGTTTTCGGAAGGAATGAAGCTGGATTCCTCTCATTTTTCTTTTTGTGTGGGAATGTATCTATCTTTTAAATCTTGGATGTCATTTTGGATGCAGGAGGTCTCTTTCTTGTTGCCTTCATTACTAGGGCTATTGTTAGATTGTTCGAAGAAGACAGAACAGTCTGTGGTTTCAATCTCGCTGGGTGCTCTGGTACATCTGATAGAAGTTGGGGGCCACCAATTCACGGATAGCGACTGGGATACTCTGTTGTCAAGCATACGGTAATCCATAATAATCCCTGTGTATCAGGATAAACTAGTATTGTAGCCAATGGAAGGAACCATGGCTTGGACATTCAACTCAGGCCCTTGGCATTCTCAGTGACTCGGCTGTGTCCAAGTCACCTCGTATGAGTTTCCATTGAGCTTCCATAGGAGCCAAAAAGATTTAAAAAAAGGGTAAAAGTCTGGGGGGAAAAAGAAAATGATAAAAAATATAAAAAACATTTTCAAAAAATAGAAAAGATGAAAAACTGGTTGAAGATTTGTAGAAAAATAAGAAAAGATAGAATATTAAAAGTCATAAAAACATAAAAAACAAAATTAATCATAATTGTAGTTGATTTAGTCAAAATTGTATCAATTATAAACTATTTATGATTAATTATAAATATATTATATATGCCCTGAGTTGGGGGATTTTCTGGAATTTGCTGAGTCCGAATTGATTGGCCTGAGTTTTCTTATACTAATTGTACCTTCCTTTTTTGTGGTTGGTAAATTTGTGTCCTGAACTTGAAAAAAACCATTTGGTCTGCTTTCATTGCGTGATGGTTGTCAGTGATGCGGCATACACCACACAGCCTCTTGAGCTTCTCAATTCAGTGGGTTTTGATAGCACAAGAAGCCATGCAACAGTAACGAGATTGCCAACTCTCAATAGTGATGAAAGCCCTTCCCTGAAGCATGGAAACTATGGCAAAATTGAAGTTCGCCCATTTGGCAGTGGTGAGAATGAGAATGACATGGACACATCATCACGAGGTAGTAGTAACAATGGTTTTGGACAGCATAATGGTTCTCATACCTTGCAATATGATAATCAAGGATCAAATTTCAAACAAAGCATTGAGGATTCCGAAGGTGCGTAAACTACTTCTCATTATAACATGACGGTCATTGTTTATGTTTTACTTGCTCACATGCAACCGCAAACTGTATTAGATGAAAATATTTGTTCAATTATTTTCGCTTCTTGTGTAGGTCTCCCTTCACCATCAGGAAGGGCAGGAAAATTATCTCAAGCTGGAAACCTCCAACGGAGCCAAACCCTAGGTCAAAGGATTATGGGTAACATGATAGACACTCTCTTGCTAAAGAATCTCACTTTTAAGTCCAAAGGTCGTCCTGGAGATGTTCTGGTTCCTTCGTCTCCAACCAAGGTATCATGATAGGAAGACTACCATTTTTGTAGCAACTTCACATTGCTGTCGCGGAATAGAGTTTCTGGATTTTATCTTCAGAAAATATTGATTGTCTTGTAGGCAATAAACCAATCTTCAATATGGGAAGAGTATGTTTAATTGCTCTTCGTTGTCATCTTTACATATCTGCACTGACGTTGTCTCTCTTAATTTAGATTCCTGAACCTATGGAAACTGATGACAAGGATAGTGAAGAGAATCCATTGCTTCAAGCTGTTAGAGGAAAATGCATTACACAGCTGTTATTGCTGGGAGCTATTGACAGTATTCAGGTAACTTTTTTCTTCTCTAATTTGGCGTTCTGGTAATTTGTCTTAAAGCTGTCTCCCATATACTTTTAGATTGTGCACTTGCAATGCAACCATGGTTCTAGCATTAACGCGATGGAAGTTGTATAATATCTTATCCTGTTCAGTTTGCCTATGAAAGCTTTTGAAGTGGATAAGTTCTGTTGGTGGCCAGGGAATTATGTACACAATTATAAAAAATTCCTGGTTGCTACTATTCAGAGCATAAGGTTTTTCTTCAATGGATGATTGGGATTGTAATCTGTGCATCAAAAGATGAAAATGGATGATTCAGTTCATTTTCTCATTGCATTCCTTTGTGAATGAATTAGAGATAACAATTCTTTTGGACTTGACAATGTCCACTACTTGGCATCACAGGACCCCGAATGAATGCTCATTCTTGACACAGTGAGACCATATCACCTGTTATTATAATTGCAGCAACAGCAATGACAATGATGATGATAATAATGATAATTGTGATAATTCTTACTACTACAACTACTGTAGCAATAATTAAATAATAATAATTGTGATAATTCTCACTACTACAAGTACTGTAATTATTAAATAATAATCATTAAAAATCATAGGGCTGACTCAGGAATTGGCCTGGGCCAAGAAATTGTGGAACCGCCTGTCTCCCCTTTTTTATATTTTTTTAAATTGTTTTTGTGAAAGCTTTCCCAGTCTTACTTAAGACTCTCCCATATTGAACAAGGACTTGTGATTGATTCCCTCCCAGATTCGACGTTTTTTATCACTGACTAACCATATTAGATAACATAAAGATACTGAGAAGCATTGGTTGAGCTGCTTACTCACAAAAGGATAACATCTCGAAGTATAACAAGATACTGGTAATTAGAACTAAAGGTTCAGCTCAAGAATATGTTTCTATGCAACCATATAATAGATAAAGCCAAAAGTATCAATCATACTGAGTTACTGACAGTCATACATATATAACTTTTTAAGAGACAACAAGACCCAACAAAATTCACTAATTTCCTTTCCCAAAAAAAAAGTAACTGGCTAAAAATATAGAACCATAGATGCATGGATTGGCATCAAACATTGCATATTGGGGATTGAGACTGCCCCATGCAGCAGAGTGGAGTATTGGTTTTGTCCTATCTATCAAGTACTACGTCCACCACCATCTCATATAAACTAGAAAAAACTTTGATTATATCCCTTTACTCGGGTATGTATGATAGCTTTTGCACCATTTTAAAAAGAATAAGATGGCTTGTACTTTATCCATAATGACTGAGATCATCCTTTAGTAGTTTTTCTTTATTTATATCTATTATCAACTGTATGGTTTGTTTATCCAAACAGGCCATGTCTACTTAAATGTACGTCATATCTCAACTTTCTCCGCAAGAATAGTGGTCTCTGTTATTGTACCTACATCTCTCTTTTCCAGCATCTAAATGATGCTCCATATCCAGAATCATTACTCTTATGGATTTATCCTTAGCCTGCTCTAAGTCACAAATGCAACTCAATTAGAGCGTCAGGCTGAAATTTAGTGTTTTTTTTCATATTAATAGTGGATAAATTAATGAACTTCACATTCTTTCTTGATTAAAGGCAAGGACCATGATGAAAACTTTTTACTGTTACTATACTTTTTTGTTACAAACTTTTATAGCTGTTAATGATTATGCCTTCAAGATTTCCTCTTCTTATTTATTTATTTATTCCAACGGGAAGCTTATTATATCTGAAAACTGCAGAGGAAGTATTGGAGTAGGCTGAAGTCCCCACAGAAGATCGCTATAATGGATATATTACTGTCTGTTTTGGACTTCTCCGCCTCATATAATTCTTATTCCAATCTCAGAATACGGATGCATCAGATGCCTTCTGAAAGGCAAGTAACATTGTTACGTTGTGTGCTGTTTTATCCTACTTGGGAAAAGGCTCTGACGATGATGATGTGTGTGTGCTGTTCTTGACTTATACTTCCTTATTTCACAGGCCACCTTTGAATCTTCTTCGCCAGGAAGTGACAGGCACAGGAATTTATTTGGATATCTTACACAAAACTACAATGAACTTCATTTCTGATAGTGAAAATTCAGTTGGAAATATGCGTTCCTCTGTAGATGATTCGGCCCCAAAACATGATCCATGTGATACCGAAGCTGCTGAAGCAGAACAACTTAATGACCTTGCAGAAGGAAAGTTGGTATCCTTTTGTGGTCAGATATTAAAGGAAGCATCTGACCTCCAACCTAGCACGGGGGATGCTGCTAATGTGGACATTCATCGAGTCCTTGAGTTGCGATCACCTGTCATTGTTAAGGTACGAACTTCTATTTTGACCCCCACAGTATCTTTTTGTAACAGTTTATTTCCCATTCCATAGTCCATCGTACGATGTAGTTCACTTTAGGATTTTGCTTGGTTATGTCTTTTGGAATGCTCTTATGTTGATGGCAGCCTGTTTGCGGTGATAGTTTTGGTAATTCATTTCTTATAGATGTCTATTATCTGCCAATGGCATCTAGAGCAGCTTGTAGTGAAATTTTAGATCACTGCGTATGGGAATATTAATATCGGAAGTTCCAATAACTGGATGAAGATGTAATGCCCCCATAGTAAATACAGATATTGCTATCCCATCAGCAAAATAATATTGAAATTAAGCATAATTATCGAAGAATTTAATAGCACAATAATGAAATGACAACTGACTGAATTATCCTCAAGTTGGGAATGTAATACTCATGAACTTCCAATCTTAAGCCATTGAAAATGGTAGTTGTAAAATTATCTGCCATATAACATTTGAAAAACCTGATGGACATTGGACAAGCTGTACTTTTCCCAAGAAGAAACTTGTAAAGCGAACATCGAAGAACGCAGGGAAAACATCCAATTATATGACACTCATATTGTCATCATATGGGATAATAGGCCTCAAAAGAGGAAATTTGAAATGATGAAGAAGGAACTGAACATATGGATTTCATCGGCAGTAGATATCATTGTCTGATATGTGGCTTCTAAATGAGATTGCATCAATATGCTTGGTTTGGAGATTGCATCAATATGCTTGGTTTGTTACATGATAGAATGCCACTTGGTAACGTACTCTGCCACTTAACCAAACATGCTACCTCTTTGGGAATTTATTAGGTTGTCTGACTTTTCGTTTCATTCTTAACTACTTAATTGTTCCCTTCAACCTATTTGCAGAGTTGGTGTTATTTCGCTTTGACAGTATTTTTCCTTTCTCTCTTGTGGAGCATATCTCTTTATGCTTTTTAAAGGAAAATTTTCAAATGTATTAGTTTTTTGTCAAAGCATGCATATGATTATCAGCATGGTGGCTATTTGAATCTAATTTACAGGTGCACCAAGCAATTGACTTTTCTTTTTTCTCTGTGTATTGTTTGGCGCTGTCATCCATATCATCTACATTAGCCTTTTACCTTTTATGATGGGCATGCAGCTTTGTATTTAGTATCATGAAAGCCATGGATATTTGTATGTTCTCTGCAGGTGCTGAAAGGGATGTCCCTCATGAACAATCGGATATTCAGAAAGCATCTTGAAGAGTTCTATCCATTGATCACTAAACTAGTTTGCTGTGATCAGGTGAATACTCTCTGCCAGAGCTATGTTGGTGCCCCCTTCTTTAAATTCCTCCTGCAATATGAAACATCAATTCACTGCTGTTTGCTAGTGAGAGGTTAAATTTCCTTGAGATACTTGTTAGTTAACTTCCCTCAAAAAAATTTCCTCGAGACACTTGGCCCATTCCTATATCATTCCTTGAAGTATATCAAGGAAATATATTATGCACCAGTATGGTATGATGCACCAGTATGGTATGTTGGCACATGGTAGACCATTGGGGCATTCCCCACTGCTCCTGGTTGATGGATGGTGGAGATTTATGATAGTTTTGGATGATGGGCATTTACGAGGGTGAGGTTATACTCCACCATCCATCATCAGGAATGGAGGTGGATGTGCCCGTGCCCTATGGTGTATCATAGACTACTGATGTATGAGTTTTTGTTCTGTGAGATCATACACTTTTATGGATAGTACTTAAAAGATATTTTTTGTGGGAGTGTTCATGTTGCTGCTTTTTTTTCTCAGATGCCCTTGTGGTTTTGAACATTAGTGGTTGCCTCCAATGTGCCTTTTTTTTTCTCCCCCGGATGGCTATTGGTGATAATTGATTGAAAGTGTTATCTTTAACAGACTTCCATTGCTTTATATATTCAGATTTGTTTACGCATTCAATTCTTCTATTTTAGGTTTGTCTCTTTTTGTCCAACAGTTATTTGATATGGATTTTTCACTCTGCTAGTCTATCATTCATTTACCATCAATGCCTTCATTAACTTGAACCTTCTCTTTCAGATGGATATTCGTGGAGCCTTGGCTGATCTCTTCAACACACAGCTGACTTCCCTTTTACCTTAATCTCTGATCCCATCTTCCAAAATCACCCTTTGTTAGCGAAAGGCTTATTGGCATTGGCATTCTGATTGATGAGGCTTCTTGGGCTATCGATTTCATTGGAGATAGATGCACACCTTTGGATCAATTCCTTTTTCATCCTCGTGCTTTCTTGCTGCAGAATATTTCTTGCTTCGTTAATAGAGAGATTTATACATTGAAAAAGAAGCCCAAACTTCCATAGAAAGAACTAACCCCAAAGGGGAAGCTTCGAAGTGCATTTTTCAAGAAGTTTTTGACTGGCACATATTGGGGTCCAAAATTGATATTGTTTGGCCAAAGTATAGAGAGGATTGCTTGAGCTTGAGAGGGGTGAGAAAGTTGGTTGCTTGTATCATTTCGGATTGGTGTTAGGAGACATTCAAGCTTTGTGCTCATTGATTGCTCATTGAAATAGAAATGCCGAGGGGAATGGATGGATAGGACATTTCCTATACAAACTTTTCATTTTCAATTTGAGGCTTTTATAAAGAAGAGAAGAAGTGGCTGATTTCCCCTTAAATGTGTGCTGTTCAAGTTTGATTAGTGGCATGATTGTCCTTGTTTCAAACTTCAATGCGTATCTCACCTAAAACTTCTCTCGCCCCCCCCCGCCCCACTGCCTGCTTGGTGTGGTTATATTTTGTGTATAAACGGCAATGTGTTGTTCATCATGTGAAGTGAGATAAGCTTCCAACGATGGCCAACTTCTGGTTTGGTCACCATGCACTGATGGTTAACCATGTTTTACAAGATTATTTTAAAAAAACCGGAACATTATGAATCAAAAACTTCTCGGATTATTTATTGTAATTCTACATTCTCAATGAAAAACTTGTTCACATTCAAGAGAGAGAGAGAGAGAGAGAGAGAGCGAGTAGTCCCATTCAAGTACAAACATTTGCTGGTGCTAGAGAGAACCACATCTCTACTTTTTCTTCATGTAAATGTGGGACTTGATGAGAACGACACTTGTCATCCATCTAAACACAAAAACAATGATAAAGTAACTCGAGATATCACCATGTGGCACACACTAAGCATCAAACATATAGAATGCGCATAGGAATAGTTATTCAAATATGCACGAAATATGAACTATTCAACATTTTACTCAAATAATTGAGTCAATTTCAGTATACCTATCAAAAGATATATGATCATGGGTAGAAATAGTACTAAATGTGTAAAATATCATTTTATTAAAACTATTATTGTAAGATGTGCAAATAGAGAGAGACATAGTGCACTACACACTAGTCGGTTTCGGTTAGGAATTTCGAACCTCAACGCATAACATAAAAGGAGGATATACTACAGAACCCCATTAACAACTTATATGACAAAAGTTTATATAAGGTTGCAACCTTAAAAGGGTGCAGTTCGTATACAGACGAAGCTCTAAACAATCAAATTAGAGCCCACCTTTAAATGGTGTTGAGAAATGTAATTTCAATATTGGAATATTTTGTGATAGCCTTAAATTATAGTCTCGTCTTTATTTATAAAATTTAAATCGTAAAAAATAGTGTAGATTGAGCAGATCTATGAAAACGTGAAAATCTTAACGGTTCTAAAAATACATTACAAAATGTACTATTTCTAAAACTTGAAACTCATTTTTTTCTCATGTCCATACATCTTGGTGCCGAGATGATTAATTTGATGATATTTGGGCATCAAAACAACCTCTTCTAGTGAAAGTTTTGAGGTAGGGCTCTAATTTGATTATTTAAAACCTAGGCTCGATATAAATTTTTCCCACCTTTGACAAACTTTGTTTTATTGTTAAAAAACTTATAATTGATTATCTCGACATCGAGATGTATGCGTATGAAAAAATAAAAGATTTTGAGTTCTAAATTTCAAAGAGGAAAATTATATTTAAATTTCAAAGAGGAAAATTATATCAAATCTTAGAGATAAACTACTTCAAAAAATTCAGAGAGAAACTATCTTAAAAATTATGTTTTAGAGCGAGAAAATGTCTCAAAATTTATAAAGAGAGTATATTAAATTTTATTTATAAAATGATAAAATATTTAAAAATGGGAAAGTATAGAATGAGATTATTTACTTTTGGTACAAGGTGGTCACATTGATCTTGACCATTAGATGTGAAATTGGGTGGGTACAATAATTCCATTTACCAAGTTCAAACTTAAAAAAAAAATTCTCGAACTTTATGACACATCTAAGCTATCAAATTTCACAGTAGATGGTTGTAAGTAATTGTGATTACCTTTGATATCATTTGCATAGAATCCCAAATGGTCTTATTGTATCAAAGTTAAATGGTTTCTTTTAAAAATCTGTAGAGAGAAACTATCTCAAAATTATAAGTTATCTCTCTTTGTTTTGACTTTTGCTTAGGAAAAAGTATGTTAGAGTAATATATTTATGTAAATTGTTTGCATATGTAAATATTTTACAAGGGACTTCTATAAACAAGTTAGTAATTCATGCATACCAAGTGATCCCTTAGGGAGTTATGTGATGATCTATGTTCAATAAATGTGAAAGATAAGCAAACTGAGCCTTAAGGAAATCAAAAGCCAATAAAATATTCGATACTCCATATACTAAACTCGAAGTACCGATCTTATGAGTATTTTGGAAAAATAAAAAAGCTAAAAAATAGGTAATATCTATAACAAAATAAAAAAAATTGAGGATATTCTTTAAAGGAAAAAATTTATATAAGACTGGAACCTTATATTATGGAAAAAATTGCATGCTTCAAAAATCCATCGAACAAAATTATTAAAATACTGAAAAACCTCTAATTGATCATATCGTCATTGAGATACACAGAGATTTAAAAAAACAACAGACATTAAAGTCTCAAAATAGTATATCTTGTAAGGGTATGGTTTCTATAAAGTTGCAACCTTTAACAATCCAATTAAGGCGTACGTCCAAATTTTATTATGATATGTAAGTTTGGTGTAAATTTTTTTTAAGATTATATCAAAATCAATTTTTATATCTAAATATAAAAATTTAAACTCCAAAGATGATTAAAATCGAAAAGATCTATAAACATATGAAAATCTTGAAAATGAACGGTCTAGTTAATGTGTTGCAAGATCCATTATTTATGGGACTAAAGTTTTATTATTTTTTATATTCATATATCTAGTCGTCAAGAGGATCAATTAGAAGGTTTTTCAATATTAAAAAAATATTTTTCCGATTGATTTTTTAGGTGCATCTATAGTTCTATATTTTAAAATTGCAACCTTATATAAACGTATTTAGATTGTCCATTCTCAAAATTGCACTAGTTTTTTAGTTTTAAACTTCATAATTAGTTGTGAAGTAAATTTTCAGGTCGTATTAAAATTTTCGAGTGGCACCCACGTACTCTTTTATCAACTTCCATCTTTACAATTGACGGCGATGATCCAACAAATGATTCCCATCATCCATTTGGTATGCTGAGCTGAAGCGCTCCTCGGAGTCTGCTTTATCGCCGTTAAAGATCGAGAAGACGTCTTATCTCTGGATCTGCAGATCCCAGCGCCGGTACGCCCTCCTCCCTAAAACCCTAATACACACTTCTTTCTCCGTCTGTATTTTTGTCATTGCAATTTCCACTTCACCGTGCTGCGAAGTTTGAGCTTTTCAATCAATAATCAGCACGGTTTTGAAACTGCAATTGAGAGTGGAAAGAGCTATGTGTTTTTTTTTGGAGTCGGCCATACTTCCAATCAGTGAAAATTTCCACAGTTTTCTCCAATGAGATTTTTTGGCATAAAATACCATTTGGCTTCATAATTATGGGCAGCTATGATTAAAACCTAATCTGAGTATCTCTAGGTATAGCGTTTTTTTTTTTTGGTAACTTTGTGTGGTATTTTCTGAGGTAGATTGTTTTCATTATTGGTTTTCTTCATAGAATATATTCGAATAAGGTTCAGTAACATATGGGCTGGGGATTTTATTTTCTTAATTTTTCTGCAAATTTAGAGGGAAACCATTGGACATTTACATTTATCTATTATTTTTGAAGCAGTGGTCTAAATTTCTTGAAAATTTATTACAAGGACGAATTCGTTGATGCAAATTACCTCTATTTTCTTCTAAACTTTAATTTTCCTAATATGACGCATACGTTAGCTTTCATTTTCTAAGTTTTCCGACAAATTTACAGGGAAAAAGAGAACAATAAAATATTGTTTTGGTGAGCGACCAGAAAGAGTGGGTTTTGATTCCAAATAGATCATAAAAGGAAGAAGGGGATTTATCAGTCTCAGATGATTATAGAAGGGGGTTTATCCTCTCTTCAACTCCCACGTCAATAATATTGGTTTGGTATAAGAAGTAGGAGGAGTTCCTCTCTCTTTATGGTCAGATAGCTTCCAACTAAGAGCAGGGGTCATGGCAGAAGATATCACGGCCACATGCGATAAGGAGGTACACTCCTTCTCTCCAATGGCCAATATCTCTATTTTTTTTCCTTCTTGTTTTGGTAAAATTTCCCTCCTAAGGAGTAGGTTTCATGATGTCCTATTCACTGTCACACTCTCACAATCTCTATATGAAATCCATGTTTTAGAGATATTGTATTGTATAAATTGTCTATGAAAACTAATAGAGACACAAGGATCACGAAACGTTTATTTATGTGGAGAACCAGAAGAGCAGTATCAGAAAATCGGATCAGTTGAAGCTGTCGATGATTAAATGTTTGAAGTTTTTTGTATGTTCTAGCAGTGCTGTAATTTTTTTTTACAGTTGTGGATTTTGCTACCATGCTGAATTAGTGGTAGCTACTATGCTGCAGCTGAGCTAGTGATACATGATTTCCTTTTACCTTTTATGATGAGGATCTCTTGTGATGTGAGTTGGTGGAGCATATGTTTCTCAAGCTCTTTGAGTGGCGGGATGGAAGAGACAAGACAGACTGTATGTCCGTTAGTTGGTTTCTTACTATGCTCCTTGGCAGTTGTGTGTGATACCGGTTATAATTTGCAAAGTTTATTAGACGTTGCGCTTGTGGTCATTGACCTATTGTAATAATGGTATTTTTATTTTTTTATTTCTGAAACTTGGATTAGGATTGGGAGTTGGGACCTTGTTTTTTTTTTCTTGATAGACATAAGTGAATACTCCTTTTTTTTTTCCATTTGCAAACCACTTGATTCACCGATCCATCCAACACAATTAGTGAACCTTGATGTAGATAACCATTAACATCTTTCTCTCTCTCTCTCTCTCTCTCTCTAAAAGTCTTTGAATAGCCGACCAACTTTGCAATCAAGGCATGAAAGGTTTACCCCCTCTAAACACAAGGCTATCTCGACCATAGTTTCAATCCCTACAATTGCAAACATCCACTTCCACTCTTACCATTTCCAAAACCTGTGATCAAAAGGCCACAAAAACGGACCTGTGGTTGATTCCAATAGATGAGGTGCTTTGGAGTCCACCATGTCTGAGAAGGCAGAGCTTGCATTGGAGCAATAGCGTGCGACAAGTATTTGTTTTGTAGAGAGAGTTTGTTGCTATAAGGTACTCTATGCTGCCTTTTTAATGGAAGTATGTAGAAGGTTGAATCAACATTTTATTTTATTGTTCTAATTTCATTTTTTGGGACATGGTTGTACTTTTTATTTGTTAGTGTGGTTAACTTTGAGGTATTATAGCATGGGATTGGAAAGGGATTTTTATTTAATGATGTAGACAAGGGCAGTAACTTTCGCAAATTCTATTTTTAAGATAGGATTGAGTTTCTGTGTGGATAAGATTATATGAGCGGATTTCATGGATTTAGGAAGTAGAGATTTGGAATAGTGCAAGTCTTTCAAGATTTTCAGGAAAGATCCTCTTTAAGTGAAGCTACAATACATTTAAAAGTTCAGAATCTGTTGAGCCCTCTTTTGCAAATGATTGCGCTTTGTCCATGATTTCCCACCATGAAGCTACAATACATTAAAAGAATTTGAGTTTATATCTCGGGATATATTTAGAAGTCAAGTTTGTTAGAACTTAGAACTTAGAACACAGTACTTAAATAACAAATACACCATCAAAATATAAGGTTTCAACTTACATGGATGGATTTTCGTCTTTTTCCTTATTGCAATATCTATCCCATGCCCTTGCTCTCTCTACAATGCCATGGCTAATATTTGAAACCCTGGCTCTAAGAATGCAGGCTCACCCTGGCTATAAGAACTCAGGCTCTTAGCCAAGAAATTGGCAGGCTCAAGCCCCCAATTGTTTTGTAGCGGTTTGGAGAACGACCCACAATAGAGAATACTGCTCCATTGATCATGAGTTTGTTGAATCAATTGCAAAAGGGCCTATTCTTCTACATCTAAGACACGTCATGGTTATACTAGTGAGCTCTGATCCATTGGATTCATATAACTGATTCAAAATGTGTTCTTAATCAATGGATAGGTTCTTGTTTTCAAAGAGGATGGAAATACCATGGGATTTGGTTTTTTGGCGAAGGATTTTAATGGAGGATTGCATTGTACAGGAGGACAGAGAAGTCATTTTTGTTGGGGGGTGAGAACTTAGGGTTATTGTATCAGTTGACCATGGAGTTGAGCAGGAGACAAGGATTTGGGGGAAATGGAAGCTGAAGTACTCCAAACCACAAAAAGATTTAAATGCACTTTGTGAAAATCCAACAGATGATCATCTGCATTTTATTGCATATAAGATTTCCTTAGCACCAAACAAGGGCTAAAATTTTGAGGATCCAAAAAATTTTAAATTGCAAAAGCTGAGAAAATGTAACTAGTACGAATGTAGGACATTCGAGATGATAGATCTTATAAGGATATTTTTATGTTGAAGTGTAACTTGAAAAGCATGTCTTTTATTGATTTGGATGAGTTTGTAATGTAAAAATAGTACACATGACGAAAACATCCTTAGAAAAGTGAAGTATATCCTGAACGGAAATGTATGTGAGGACATGCAAGTGTATATTGGCCAACTGGAGCATGGCCATAAACAAGTCAACTTGCTGATCTGAACAATGAAACAGAAAATCTCATGACTGTTTCAAGATTTGGTGTAGATTTCCAAAGAAAAAAAATGTTTATTATGGGAATTAGAACCAGCTTGTCATGTAAGGGGTATTATAGCATGAAGACATGGGAAACTTCATGTATTTATCCATGTAAATTTTGTAAACCTGGGTCGCTTGCTGGTAAAGTTCATCCAAACGCATTTATGATGAACTTTATCATGCGGGCAGTCAGTTATAGTGTTGACCATGTGAACTACATGTCCCAGATTTGAATGACTGATGTAGGATCTAGTGTGGCACCTGTGGTTGGTGAAATCCAAGGTTTGGGTTTGGGATGTAAGATTAGGTTTAAGGTATTTAGAGTTGGTTTAGGGTTCTTGGAGAAGTAGGGTTTATTCTAGTTGGTGAAATCCAAGGTTTGGGTTTGGGATGTAAGATTAGGTTTAAGGTATTAGAGTTGGTGTAGGGTTCTTGGAGAAGTAGGGTTTATCATATGAGAGGTGGTGTGGCTGGTATCAGGTTTGAAGCGTTGGGTGTGTGTAGAGAGCGAAAAATTATGATGTGAGTAGAGGAAAGTGATAAAGGAGGACTTAAGACTGGTGCAGAATTAGCACATTGCAAAGAACAAGCGAGAGGACTGAAAATCTGTATGGAGTTGGGCACCATGCGAATATTAGGTTTTCTTGTAGAATAGGCACCATAAGAGAGGTTGAGGAATAAACAGCCCAATGAGGGAATCAACACTGCCAAAAGCTTGCAAAAGAAAAATTTACCACTTCTATGTATCAATATGGCCTATATGGCCATAGGCCTTTAAATGTAATTATTTGACTCTAGACCCTAATCGCACCTTTTGTCCTTCATAGCTTTGCCTATAATCTAAAAGGAACCTAGACAACTAGGAAGGTAAGGTCTCCAATTGCAGGAAGGTAACATGACCACTAAAGACCCTTCGTAGAAATAAGGACCCAAAATAAAGTAAAATTGACTCATGAATACTAAGTTGATTAAATTCCTTATAAGAACTGAAATTTGTAGCTAAATCTCTCATCAGGCTTTCCATCATGATTTTAAGCATGAAATGCTCTGGTGAAGGATGGAACAATATCGCATCAGCAATATTGTAGAAAACAAAAGGATGCAACAACAAAGTCAATAGCTCTGAACAATTCTGCAGCACAGTTAGTGATGATGCTGAGCTATAGAATTGCTGAAAAACATTTACATGAATAGAGAGCGATTGCTGACGTGTCCCCACCCTAGTTGTTAGCACATTTCTATTGGTTCACATTATCTCCCACTCTACATTTGATTTTCTGTTGCTTTTCCATCTGTTTGGTTGTGTATGCAGCTTGATGTAACCTTCTTTCCCCAACTAATTGGTTTTTGAGTGGATGTCTCTGCACGTTTGGCGAACATGGTGAAAGTTTACAATTCTTTCGCCTGCTCGGATGTAAGAGAACAGTTGCTTCCTCCCTTAAGAACGCTGCACTTGCTTCCATGCTATGTATTATCTGAAATTCCGAATCTTTTCAAGCACACTCAAAAGAATGCTCATCGTTTCCTCTCTCATAGGTGCAGGTTCCTTAGCCACTTTGGAAAAGATAACGACGTCACTCAAAGACCACATTAGTGTACCTTTATTTGTCTTATCTACTCATCTTTGACCACTCTGTTTTTGCAAATATTGGCAACATGAACTGGTATGGATTTTATACAAAGCAGACACCATTTTTCAACAAGCACGTCATTTTCACCTATTCTTCAATCCTTGATTAGGTTCACTTGTCCTGTCGACAAATATTCCTCTTTGTACCATATATGAATTTTTTTTCACTTTTCATTTGCATTTGACCTAATGACATAAACTGTTACAGTGATATTAATTTGTCCTCTCCGCGCTTAATCCCTCACAATGTTAACAAGGTAGAGGCGGCCGCCTAGGCAGGTTCCCAAGTATGTGGGCTGCCTGCATAATGGGGGGGCTTCTGGCCCTTGTGAACTACTGGACCCCCCCTGTTTTTATGTACAGAATGTAAAGTTTTTTTTGTTTAGTAAACATGCTTTTATAGTTTTTTGTGTATAATTTTATTTTATAGAACTACATATCAACAAGGTCTTGAGAACAAAGAAAATACTAGCTATATAGAGGAAAAGTATTGTGGTACATATTTACAAGAACAAAAGGGACACAGAATTGTGCGAACTATCGAGGGATTAAACTTATAAGCGATACTATGAAGCTATGGGAGAGAGTGATTCTTTAATGATTCAGACATGAAATTAGTGTATCGGAAAACCAATTCGGATTTATGCCATGGAGGTCAACAATTGAGGCTATTTTCGAGGCAATTGATTAAGAAGTTTAGGGTGAAGGGAATAGATTGATATAGAGAAAGCTTATGATAAAGTACCTAGAGATTTGATTTGGTGGATGTTGAAAAAAAAGGAGTCTTCAAACACTATAATGACTTGGTGAGAGATATGTATGAGGGAGCTAACTAGTGTATGAGCTACTAGTGGAGAGAGGAGTGAGTTTTCTAAGACAATAAATCTACATCAGGGGTCTGCATTGAGCCCATACCTCTATGTCTTAGTTGTGGATGACTTAACTAGGCACCTACAAGATGAGGTACTATGGTGCATATTGTTCGTGGATGATATAGTTTGAATCGATGACATCCGATACGGCGCCAACATAAAATTAGAACTTTGGAGGGATGCTTTTGAATCTACAGGCTTTAAAATTAGCCGGACTAAGGCAAAATATATGAAATGTGTTTAGTAATGATAGGAGTAGAGATGAGGAAGTAATTAAGATTGACAGCCAAGAGATTCCAAAAACTTTCAATATCTTGGATCAATAATCCAGAAAAATGGAGAGATTGAGGAAGAAATAGAACTAGAGCTGGGTGGACACAGTGGAGATGTGGCAGAGTTTTATGAGACCAGCTTTGCTTTATAGGGCGAAATATTAGGCGGTCAAGAAACAACAAACCCATAGGACCCGTGTACCAGAGATGAGGATGTTGATGTGGATGAGTAGCAAAACAAGGAAAGGAGAGAATTCCAAATAGATACATTAAGGAGAACTTAGGTGTTACTCCAATAAGCAATAAGTTGAGAGAAACTAGACTTAGGTGGGCTAGCTATGTGCAAAGCAGACCCAGTGCAACACCTTTTGGGAGTTGCGAGTTGGTTTAAGTGGAAGGCTCAAAAAGAGCAAGGGGTATACCCAAAAGGACATGGTTGGAAGTAGTGAGAAATGATATGGGGACTTATGGCCTCATTGATGGTATGACCCTTGATAGTGCAAAATGGTGGACCAGGATTCGTGTAGCATATCGAACTTAAACATACATGTCTTTGAACTATGAATTGAATAACTAAAAGTAACATTAAAAGAATGAAGATTACTAGTCCTAACTAGCAAATGTTAATTTTCCATTGCACTTATCGCAAAACTTCTGATATCCATTACATTTCAAAACAAACAATTGACAAAAAAGAGTTACAGTTCACCACTCAAAGGGCATAAACTAACAAAACTAGTTTACTGGATAACAAATCATAATACATTTTACACAAAAAATACAAAACCCTCATTTAAAAAATATTGTAATACACCAATCTTCTCAAAATGGAACCGATATCCATCCCATATTGGCGACCTTTGGTTGCCAAAAGTCTTATGACCACTCCAAGCTCCAAAAAGAATCGGGAAGAATATCTTTCGATTTTGCAAGAAATAAAAAAGGGTGAAATTTTTTTTTGATCTCTTGATAAACCTCAAAATCTTTGTTTTTATCTTTAGAAACCTCCTCTGCCCATAGTTGTCGAGGCTCCGCCTAGGTGCCCTCCCTAATGGGCGCCTTGCTGGCACCTCGGGCGCCTAGGCGGTCACCTTAGGCATGCATGCCTAGAACCCCTTGCCTAAGAGGATTGTCGGCCAAGCCGTCTCCTAGACCGGGCAGCTGAACTTTTCATCCTTGATCCCTTTTTACATATGTTCTTGTCATTTGTGGCATGCTAGGGAAGTAATGATGACGACTGAGGATCCTTTGATCATCTTGCTGATGAAAGTATTTCTGTGCATGGTCACCCCTAATAAGCCTTGCCCTTGTGAGCTATTTGACCATGCTCATGTTTCCCTCAATGGCATGCAGATAACTGATATGTTTCTCTCTTGGGAAAGAGTTTTTGGGATTGGTGTCATACATGATCAAACTCAAAAGTTATATGCATGCAAATTGAAATGTGGACAAAAAATATTAGACTCCTTTATGAGTATTTAATAACACTTCTTCCGTAATATATGCTAAATACTAGATAATCTCTCACTTCATTATTATTATTATTACTTTTTGGTAAAACTCACTATATGAAAAGTAATAAATGTATGATACTCAGAAAGTGATTTAGAACGGGCTCTAGGTAGAGGTAGTCAGGGTGGTGGGTGGGACAAAATGATGTCTAGACTTGTATTCTTACCCATTCCCATGTTAAAAAGAAGAAGAAGGATACTTACAAAATCTGTTTGGTCTAGGGGTGATACATTCTGTTTGTCAGAGAGGGATCTAGGTTTCCACTTCCTCTTGCAGACAATCTGAACAACCCACTATAAGAAGTAAATTATTAGTATAAAAATTAAAAGCAGAAAGGTGCAAACTGAATTCATCTGATGTTTGACATATTTTATCTTCTTCAATTATCTGTGTTCACTTAAGGTTATGAGAAAACATAAATGAATGTCTTTGGCTTTATCTCAATAGTTTTTGATGTTACTATCTTCCACTAGTAATTTTTTGGTGTGTTTAGGTGCTTGTGAAGATTGTGAAGTTGGCACAAACACGTAAAATTAAGGGTATTGAAGGAGAATGGAAAGATTTTCTGCAATCTCATGACAAGAAGTTCGGATCTAGCCTAAGTGATCCTTCTAGAAGGTCAATCGACATCTTGGCTGCTTTTGTAAAGACAATTACTGGGGAGGAAGATGTGAAGGTATGCAACAATAGTTTAGTGTATGTTTGTTTTGCTTCAGCAATATATTCTTTTGCAGCATTTTATTACCTTTTCATTCAGCAGTCTTCTTCAAAAATGTTTTTAACGAGGGAATCAATCTTTAAATTATAGATTCATGCTTGGAAAGATGCTTGAGTTCCAAAGCATTCTACTTATGTTGACGATGGCATATGTGGGTGAAATTAAGGCAAACAGTTCTTTGCATATTTGGAGGAATCATAAATATCATAGGTAGGGGTGTAGAGCATAACCCATCCCGCTTTGGGAACACAGTTCCGTGTTCCTGGAGCTTATCCTTGATGGGCACTGGAACTTACCCTCGATGGGCACTTACTCTTGATTATATGGCTGTCGATCTCATTAGCATGGGATCTGGATCCCATTTAACATGCGATTGTGATCTGTAATTGTTAGATATGTTATTATATTTAATTATTGATAAATGATTGGACAAATGTTACTTTTTTTTTGAGAATGGGTTGGCTTTATAAAGAGTAAAAATACTTTACAGTTTAACAAAGTACAGGCAACCCACAAAATGGGCACTCAGAGTACAAAATAGAGAGAGAAGTTGAGATAGGAGAAGAAAGGGGTGATGAAGAGAACACTGACAAGAACCAGGAGCTGTGTTGTGAGGGAAATAAAAGGTGGTCTTCTACAGGGGACAGCCACTTTAGGCAAGGCATGGACCTCTTGCGAGGGATGGTAACGGGACCGTTAAAACTGAGCTACAGCTTTGGCGAGGCATGCTCTTCTTTGAACAAATGTTACATTGTAAAGATGACTATAATCAGTAACACACTGTACTATAGTGGTGCGTTCGAGCATGTGTTATTCTACGCCATTTTGAGATCTGGGACAGATCTCAAGTTTTGTTTGACTACATCAAAGATATGGTGGTTTAAATATAAATATCAGGTCTCTTTCTTTTAATGTACCTACAGTTTTAATTTTCTATGGGACTCTCTCACTATGGAATTTCTGTCGTTAATGGATCCCGTCATCGAAAATTCCAGTAGAGGTGTTAGCCTCTTGGAATGGCAGGTACCTCTCTCTTGGAGGGAGGAGAACTCGTATCAAAGTGACCTTGTCCAATATCTGCCATGTCGCTCTTCAAGATACCTGCCAGCATCATCAACTCTCTCGAAAGGTTAATGAGAAATTTCCTTTGGTCTGGGGATATCTCCAATATTAAAATCGACTTAATTGCTTGGGATAAAATCTGTAAGCCCAGAAGGTGGGAAGCCTTTGCATTAATGGCCCTAAAGCTAATGACTTGGGCCATCATTTGTAGCACTAAGCTAATGAGGTGGGATCTTTTCATTAAATGGATTTGTTGGAAAATTTACTTGAGCCAAATGTTTGAAAGTGGTGTATCACACTCCTTCAACTTGAAGGATGCTGGTTCTTTGCCTCCGCATTTGCTGCTCTCTATCTGCCATTATTCCTTATGAATGACAAGAAAATTTTTGAGTGGTCATACGAGAGACTCTCTTAATTTTTTTAATGCATTCTTTTTACACTTTGGTGTGTGATGTTTGATTTCATAATTCTAAGAGTATCTTCTCCATTTTCAGCATCTTGGTTTCATGTTTTGTGTTTGCGATATTTGATGTTTGATCTTGATGCTGAGAGTTTGTCATCTGTTTTTTCTGCAGCTTATTACTAATTTAGTGAAACTTCATGAGAATTATAAGTCCATGGAATTTCTTATGAAGAACTCTCAGCACCCGGAATCCCCTGAACAGGTAAGAGTGGATCGTGTTTCTTTAGGGTTGGGAAATTCAAAATTTTTATTGCATGGTTAAACCTTATTCGGTGTATTCCTCAGTAGGGGGTTTAATTATTGTTCGTTTACTTATTTTTTTAATCATCTTACTAATTTTGTTAGGAGTAAGTTTCTCTCAATTCTCAAAGATCCATTATAATGGACCATAGTGGGCATGAGCCATCTCCGCTAATGCATATGATGTTATATTAAAAATAATGGGTACATTGACGTTATAATAGATATAATGGTTTATAACAATAAAGAAACATGTATAATGGTGTATTACTTACCAGTCAATAAATTCCAAAGAAATACCTTTAGAACAGATATAATGTTCTTTCTTAGAATGAATATAATGGGTTTCTATTTAATAACAAACATGATGGCTTCATTACAGATATAAACCATCATCCTTTTTGTATTTTTTAATATATCAGTTTTAGTGCAGAGATCTCGCCATTATGTAATGACTGATTTTTTATACATCTTTATTTTTTCATGGGGAATTTATCAAAAGGAACCCAAGAGATGAATTATTAATATTTTACCCATTTCTTTTGGTATAATTTAAAATGCCAATCAAAGTACATTAACCATGAGTTATAACAGTTGTTTTGGGGTAATTTGGTAATGAGATGTTAAATAGTTGATACTTTAATATCTATCAAAAAATAACCTTATCAAAAAAAAGAAGTTGATACTTTAGGCATATTTTTGATAAACTTCCCATTATTCATTGTGGGTATTTTAGATCGTCTGTCCTTTATGATCACATCATGTGATGGGCAATGGCCCTTTAATGAGAGAAGATTGTTAGAGAACAGAAAATCAGCAATATTTCAGGCCAAACACAAGGAACCGTTGGAAGAAACCTATGATTTCTTCCTCAAACCTTACCTAGGGCTTCAAAAGGGTCGACCTTTCTCTCTTTTAAAAAATAAACCACGTGAACCATGAAGGCCCCATTCACCTCTATTTATATTATATTTTATTTTTGATACAATGTCCAAAATAGCCTTGGCCAAAAACAAAATTGACTGATTACTACCAACTTAAACATAAAATTTGTAGTGATTATTTTACCTAAAACAAAATATTCCGTAAACACTTAAGTCCTTAAACAACTCTTGAAAATCCTAAAAATATAAAAAACATCCTAGAATACTGAAAAAGCTTGAAAACCCTAAAAAAATCTCAAAATAAAAAATTGACTTTGGAAGTAGGCTAAGATGAATCCAACTTTAAAAAAATATTTTTCCACCTTCTTCTTCTTGGTTGGCTCAAATATTATTCATGGTAAGAAGAGATCCTCAAATCTTGGTATGCATAGTAAGGAATTGATACAAACTAATTAAATTCATCTATCCCTGAGCTCACATTGAAAATTATATAGGAAACTTCAAACTAAATTTTCTAGTATTTAGAGGCTTTTTCAACATCAATTTCGTTATTCTCTGAATCTAGAGCCACAATTTGCGGTTTATGAGTCGATCACGCTTCACCTGCGGGAGTCTAATTCCAATGCCCTCAATCTCTTGAATGCTCCACCTCTTTGATATCCTTGAAATCTTCATAGGCCATGATTTTGATCAGTCTCCCTACTGCCTTCTCTCCATATTCGTCACGAGTAAGACCCTCTTCAGAAATGTATTCATCTTAATTCTTATCATTGATCGGATCTCATAAAAGATCTTGTTGTTCATATGAGCATAGGTATAAAGATTTGTGGCGAATCCCAATCCACAACCCATTGATTTTGGATAAAACCTGCGTCAAAATTAAGAATGTCCTTATTCAAATCGAAAATCTTAGAGTGATGTCCCCAACAGCTAGGTCTTCTATAACTTTCCTCTCAACTCTTCGTATGGAGCACGACTGCAAAAGGGATTAAATTCGACATCTTCTTGGGCAGAAAGATCCCCATCTTGTCCACGTGTGATGTTCGTTAGGTGTTGCATAAGCTGTTGAACTTGCCTTTTATGGTCTTCAATTACCTCCTTTCTAGGATCAGGGGTTAGATCTATGAGAGCCCTGGTTCCCATGGGTTTACCGAAATCACTAATCCTAGGTAGAGAATCAACAAAACCTTTCTAAAATCACCATGATCTAGGCTGTTTTTTGTAAATCGTGGGCTGAAATAAAAAAACTCTTGACCAAATTCAGTAACATTGTTTCAAAAAGCGGACCGCCCAGCGCTTGGGCGGCCGCCTAGGCGGATTTCCCTGGGCGCCTGCCTGAACTCGCCTTGGCGGCTTCTCAGGGCCTACGCCCCACCCAGGGGCGGAACTGCAGCTCCTTGAGGGTATTTTTGGGTCATTTTTTTAATACTAAAGAGAGAAAATTGTGGGTTTTAGGAGCTAAAACCTTAAAATTCTAAAAAAGCTAAAAAATCCTGAAAGTAAATCCTAAAATTAAAATTATTATATATATCATTTGAAATTAAAAAAATTGAAAATAAGAATAATTTTATCCTTGATCACCCTTTTGACATTTTAATGCCCGTTATAGCAGTTGCTTTCATGTTTTTTGGAGCCATTGTCCTGTTATTTATATTCCACATGCTAATGTGGCTGTCTCCATTGTTTTCAATATCCAGATTTCCTTCTGTCGTAACTAGTGCTCCTTTGTGAGTTTGCAATACCTTTACCAAATAAATTGTTTGGTTGAGGGTCAAAAGCGTTTTAAGGCAGTTCCTGCACTAGTACGTGAGTGTGTGTGCATATACTGACACACACATGCATTTCTAAACCACATAAATATAAAAACAAGATCAAGAGATATGGACCAATAGCCACATAAAAAGAGAAGGTTTGAGACATATATGAAGAAAGGAAGGGACCAAGCATACATCCATGGAACATCAAATTGATATAAAAAGAAACCCATTTGACAAAACCAGGTTCCTTATAAGATTAGCGAGCCCTACGAGAGGGAGGGAGGGAGAGAGGGAGTGACGGAGGAGGGATGAAGGTTTTAAAGAGAAACGAAGGTTTTGAGGGAGGGAGGGATGGGTTGAATGCTCTAAGGCTCCGAGGAAGGGGATCTCACTTCTCCGTGATTCTTAAAATTTGGAATCTTGATCCTTCTTATGCCTACCATAGGGAGCTTTTTACTTGTTATGAGCCAGCAGCCAAATCCTGATCACTATGGTTTTCAGAGTAAAAAGGAATAAGTTATTAGAGTTTTGAGGAGTGTAGGTGAGTTTCTTTAGTGTGTCTCAATCGTGAAAACCTGGCAACTAGCCATTTAGAATTCTACCATAGAGTCCAATGATAGACAATAACTCCCCCTCGAGCACAACTTACAACTTTCATTGTACTGTGCTCTCCAAAGAGTAGCAACTCCACTCAAAATCAATCAAAATGTAGGTTAGCTTCATCAGCCATACAATACCTACGTTTGAAGCACTGAGCCCATCTTAGTTCCACCATTTGCTTGCAATTGTGATGCAACAATCTTTAAATTTTGGAATGATAACTTATAATTAAATTAGTTTAAAATAAGATAACTCCTAAATTGTATTTTAAAATGGTAATTCCAAAGTTCAGTTACGTATATGTTCAAGCTGTAACTAATAAATATTGAGTATACAAATACAATCACAAACGTCAACAACATCATATGAAACTGTGCTAGATGAAACTTGAAGAAATTATTCAAATTAGATAGATATCTAGATTGAATTTAGATAGATATCCAGATTGAATTTGGTACTTTGTATCACCACCATTTCCTTGCCAAATGATTTTAGTGTGCATTTATATAAAATCAGCTCTTCAGTAGATATCTTACCCCAAATATGCCTATTGCAAATGAGCCTCTTAAGACACTTATGAAAGACAACCATATTGCATCCTGTCTCTCAATATCCATGTCTACATAAAATCACTTTTGGTTCAAGTAGTACCCAATCGCATGCAATGGTTGATGAAATTGGTCCTCTCACTATTTATCTACATGCTCCCATATTTGGCCATACATGTTCTGATCATTGCCAATGCTTTAGTTCTCTCTCTTGGCCCATCCGATGCAATTATATGCAAAGCCCATCAAAGCCCATAGTGGGCTTCTTCTCACTATCAACTAAATGTAAAACTTAGGCCAAGGGTCGAAATACCTTAAGTGAGTACACTATCCATCGTAATAAGGCCTAGGCAAAACATGATATCACATGCTCTCTTTAGCTTGCATGAACCACTAGGATCTAGACCAAAAATATGAAGTGATTATAGATTGGAGTTGGTTTCTCTTTTCCATTATGCTCCATAAAATTAGGAAAGACATGTCGCATTGTGTCCCTCTTCTCAATGAACTTGCACAACATGCTAAGGTAAAGGGGTAAATGTAAAACACTATCATGACCTTAGCCTTATCATGTGCCCCCTTTACATTGGCATTTTGCTGCTTATTTTAAACATGTTGTGCATGGTGTCCAAAAATTTGGATGCAGCTTTTTGAAACAACAAATTAGCAGCTGACGGATGGGCTGCAACATGGTTTATTGTATGCCTGACATGCTTCTCTCCAACCTCCATAATACCCTTTACGATTGAAAAAAAAAAAGAACCATGCATTAAGAATATCATTAGATTCATCAACAGACCTAAAAGACACTATCCTTAGAGAAATTTTCTATCAAATCCATCACTCCTACTCTTACCACTCCATGTATCTGTCATTGTGGAGACATCATATTTCACCCACACATCCCCATGTGTCTTGAGGTATTTCTTCTTGAGTTCTACCTCCTTCTGTAGGGATGGCTTCTGGAGATCATATGGGGTTGGGCCTTCAACCCTGGCCTCTGCGGGGAGCTACAAAAGGGCAAATTTGTCATTGAATATGTCCTTTTATGTTTTTTATTTATTTCTTGAGTCATTTCATTTACTTAGGGGCATAAGTAGTAATTTCTATAGTCTTTTATATCTTTTTATTCACTTAAAGTCTGTTATAATAAATCGTCATGATTAGATTAGTTGGATGGCTAAGATTAAGGCTTGTTTAGGGTTTTCTTATATAAGGGCTGTACTCAATCATATTGAAGCATCTTGTTATGGACTTCATTTAAAACCCTAGAGCAGTCAGTGCTCCTTTTGTCTCTAGTTTTTGAACCAAGCTCCAAGCTACTAGGTTTGTACTAGGTTGGTATCAAAGCTTGATGATTTACTTGGACAGTACTGGAGCATTGTACAAAAGGTATTTGTATTGTCAATTTTTGTGCCCTAGATCAATAACCATGCCTCCAGGTACGGGAAAAGCAGGAAAAAGGCAGCCGTAGAATCCTTTGATACTAGTTTGTGAGAAGAGATTGCAGATCTAAGGAGATCGGTTGAAACCCTAGCTCGGTGTTTAGAACAGATGGAAGCCTTAAGAAGATGAGATCGAGGCAAATGAGGAATCCATAGGTCCCTTCCATGATCAAGCTCCAAGGAGAGAGTTAGTTGATTGTACAGATGGGGATAGCAAGAGGGGGAAAACGTCTCAAGGTTGAGATCCTGGGGTGTTATGGAAGTCTATCCAAGGTCAAGCATGGAGAAACTTTGTTCTCATGATCAGCACGTTGTGGATTGGAACTTACTGCCAGTCTTTGATAAGAACCTGGATGACGATTTAGGTGTTGAAAAAGAAGTGGGTGACCTTATCTTTAATGGTGATCCAATCCATTAACAGGATCAAGAAGAAGATCCTATCATGGGGGAAGTTTTTTCTTTTGCAGTACCTAGATGTGACATGAGCATGAAAAAGGTTCAAGAATCAGTTTTATAGGGGCTTAAAACAAATCACTTGTTTTGGCTTTTTGACCCAATATTGTAGGGTGGATCTCGAAAGATATGAAAGATCTCCTGCCAAGCCGTACATATGACTTCCATCGAATACAGCTTTCCACAGAATTCTATATGTATCAATGGGATCGAGTATGGAGTTTTGTTTACTCACTTTAAATTAAGTATGCGGTTCCCTCCTTCTTTTGCTATGGTTTGAAATCTTGTAGGATATTGTGGATGCTCCTATTCTTGATGAAGATCAGGGCGGATGTCAAGGAGTTATTCCCAAAATATTGGAGGTAACTAGTTTCTTAGTCCCCAGCTCTGCCGTTTGAGAGCAGGAAAGACATTCTAATTCTTTTGGGAAACATTTTCCGTGTTTTCTTGGGAATGCATTCTATTATTGTTGTTATGGAAGAGTCCCCCAATCCTTGGATAGGCTTCATGAGACTGACAAAATGCATCACAAGGTAAATGTTTTGGGTTGTAAATAATGGGAACAGTTTTGTTGTAGGTCAAATTCGGTAGAGAAGTTGAGCATCAAAATCCTTTAGTTATTCTTGAAGATATTAGTTTTCACAGGCTGGATACTATAGGTCCAATCTTTTTGCTGAACTGGCTTATCTTTCACAAAGAAGTATGTCGTTCTAATTTAATGTTAGCATTGTAGATGATAAAATTTCTTATCTTTTAATTTTTATCAAATAGGTTTTTATTTTGGTGTTTCTTACATTCACGGTTTTATGTGAAGGAAACTGTTATACCTCGTATTCATTGTCTTGGCTGACATACATTGAGTCTTATATTGAGATATGGTCGTTGGAATCCTTGGGTTCTTCACTTATTATCTATTTTTTTCCTTTTCACCACAATACATGTTTTTATTTTGTGAGCTTGATTAATCTCTGTGTTTGGCAGAACAGAAGTTAGTTCGTCTAACAATGGAACATCCCGAATACCTGAAGCGTTATTCCTTCCCATCCTATAATGAGGTGTGATGACTTGTCTTGTACCTGAATGCTTAGTTTGGATTAGAAGTTTGTACTTTATGATTTACCTCTAATCCTATACTTTTAATCCCTTTGTCATTTCATTGGAATTGTCTTATGGTTGTTTGTGTTTGAAATTTTTGATGGATACATAATGCATCAGTTAGCAACATTTGTACATTGTTGGTGCTAGGTGAATCATTAGATTAGATTGTGTTTTCTGTTCAAAGAATAGTATATAGTACTACTCCCCCCCTCCTCTTTGTACTCTCTCTCCTTACAGCAATACAATGTTAACTTTTTCTCAAAAAAAAAAGTATATAGTACTACTCTAATGTGTGGCCTACTTAGTCTTGCCATTTTCTTACAATATATTTGAAGGATTCATGTCTACAATATAATATTTTGGCTTTTTGTTACAGTAAAGCTACCCAGAAACTTGGTTTGGTATATGTCATTCGTATCAACAGTTCTGGCCATCCCAAATATACTGGAAACATGTTTTGACTTCTATCAGCGATGCTTCCTGATGCAGCCCATAATACTACTTTCGAGCTGTAGACAAGAGAGACAAGCTAAAAAATTACAAGAGGAGCTTTAGGAGGGAAAAATAGTGATTTAATCTATCCTTTACGCATTTTATTTATTTCATGAGTGATTTATTTCACTTAAGGGTATAGGTAATAATTTCTAGAGTCTTTTATGTCTTTCTATTCACTTAAAGTCATTTATAATGAATAGCCATGATTAGATTAGATGAAGGCAAAAGTTTATACAAGTGCGAGGCTCTAAACGATCAAATTAGTGCGCACCTCAAAAATTTCACTAAAAGAGGTTGTTTTGATTCCCAAACATCCTCAAATGATCATCTCGACATCACAATTCATGAACATGAGAAAAAATGGATTTCAAGTTTTGGAAATAATGCATTTTTGGATCGTCAATTTTCAAGAGTTTCAAGTTTTCATAGATCTGCTCAATATACACTATTTTTTAAGCTTGAAATTTTATTATTAGAGATGAAAATATATTTTAAGGCTTTCACAAAGATTTCCAGTATTGAAACCACATTTCTCGACACTATTTAAAGATGCGCTTTACTTTGATTGTTGAAAGCTTCAGCTCTATACATACCGCACGCTTAGATGAATGGCATGTTTAAGTCTTGTCTAGGGTTTTCTTAGATCAGAGATGTACTCAAGCATAATGAAGCATCTTATTATGGACTTTATTCAAAACCCTAGGGCAGCTAGTGCTCCTTTTATCCCTAGGTTTTGTATCTTTCTCTAATTTCGGATCTTCCCTTTCTTTTTTGCCAAACCCTAGCTCCAAGCTACTAGGTCTGCGCCAGGTTGATATTAGAGCCTAATGATTTATATGAACGATACTTAAGCAATGGACGGATGATATTGTAGATGGTGTTGTGTAGTCAATTTTTGTGCCCTAGACCAACAACCATGACTCCACGTAGAGGAAGAGGAGGAAAACCGGCAGCCATAGAAGCCTTTGATGCTAGTTCACGAAAAGAGTTTGCAGATCTAAGGAGATTGGTCAAAACCCTAGCTCTATGTTTGGCACAGATGGAAGCCTCGTCTCAAGCAAATAAGATCAGGGCAGATGAACAATCCAAATCCCTTTCATGATCAAGCTCCAAGGAGCGAGGTAAGCTGATCATGCGAACTTGGATGGTAGGAGGTGGGAAAACGATCTCAGCGTTGAGATCCTGGAGTTTTATGAATTGATGAGCTGAATATAATGGAGCATATATTGGAGTTTAAAGAGGTTCCTAAGGAAAAGAAAGTACCTTTAGTCACCATAAAGCTTAGGGGAAGTGCTTTGGCCTTATGGGAACATTTGAAGGTGATGCATAAATGAAGAGGGCAGCCCAAAATCATAGATTGGTTAAAGGTGAAGCGTAGGATGAGAGAGGCTTTTCTGCACTTCAATTACTTGCAAACTCTATATCAGCGTTTGAATAATCTTCAGTGGATAACCATTCGGAAGAGTTTTATCAATTGGTTTCGTGTAATGAGCATTCTAAGGACGATGATCGGAGCGCAATATATATAAGCAGTTTCTGCAGGATGTGTTGAATCTTCCACACCTTCTGAAATTTTTCTATTACCGTGCCTTGGTGGTGGAGAAACAACAAACCGAGGTCAATTCATATATGGAAATATGGCAGTAGTAAGGGCCAGATCTAGGATGAGAATTAGACAAACGCAAGAGCACGATGGGGGAGTCCGGTAGCAACAATCCGAAATCTAGAGAGGTGGCGCAGCCCCACAAACAGGGGTACTATGTTACCCAAAATTTTAAACATACTCTTTTTATCTTGATGAGATTAAATTTGGGCTTTGGGGGGATTTTCTTGGCCCCAGATATTGGATATAGCCTTATCATCGTTAGATGACTAATTTTAGAAAAGCAAAAATCATTTTGGAATATCGAAGTCCTATATCGAAATGTTGAATGAATAGATGGTCTGAATTCATGGTGGGAGCAGGGCTCATTTTTACCGTTTGAGATTGTGCAT